GGGGGAGTGTGGTGGACCCTGAGGCATGATTGGTGGGGCCTTGAGGACAGCGATCTTTACGAGTAGCAGGACAGGGACAGGCAAATCGCGTTTCAAAACTCTCCATCACGTTAGTACGCGGCACGACACGCCGTATCGCTATCCATCGGAGCATAGCCAGCACAGTCGACTCTCGACACTGGTCCTGGTCCTTGAGGGTGAATGGCGCCGGCGCAAAAGCTCTTCGGGGCTCGTGGACAACTGGACGCGGAGGAGAGAGTCGTGTCTATGTTCTTTTCCTCCGACTACCTACCAACAAAAACCCTACAGCCAGCCCATAGGCACTGACTTGTCATTTAGCACTGTCTAGTACAATCGCAGTCAAGCTGACCGTTACCGTTGGCTGGTGGCCTTCGCTGCGGACGCCCTAAGCCCTGAGCTGCCGCTTCTGATACTACTACTACTGCTACTACTGCTGCTACTCTGCTGCCCACTTGCCTGGTCAGGAGACGCGCCGTGAGCGACCGCAGCGTCGCGTTTGCTGATTGGTACTCTGGCGTTGGCCCGACACACACCTCTCTATCTCTGTCCTTCTTGGCGTTTCCGTCGCACTCCGTCTCTCAACGGGGTCCTGAGGAGAGACGGGCTTGTGCATGAGCATGAGCATGAACGTTAGCATGACCGAGAATAGATGCACAGCCAACACGGCTGGCGGCGGCGGCGATGATGACTGACCAACTGACCGACCGACTGAGTGAGTGATGAGCAGGCTCAGGCAATATTATGATATTCCTTTGATGTCCATCCTCGGTATGCTGGAGACGAACATGCCTGCACAAGAAGAGGAGGACTGCATCCTAGTCATAGGATGGACACCCGGAGACAGCAACTACAACAATAGCTGGTCATGAGGGAGTGAGTGAATCGCGCAAGGTCGTGGTGGAGTCTCCTCCTGCAGTCTTCGGCCAGTTCGGCGTGTTGTGATCCTACCTACACTTCAGCCTCCAGTCCAACTCTGGCGCTGCTGATATCCTCCAACTGCCCATTTGGGCGTTTGCCTCATGGCCTTTTTGATGTGTAACGGTAGGTAAGGCATACTAGTGGCCTCTTTCTAAGCAATGCGGCCATGGGCATAGTCCCTATATCGTCGACTCCTACTGCTCCTCCTCAATGTCTGCAGGCAGTCGAGACAGGCGTCAATACTCCGACACGTCCTGCAACAGCTGTCGACGCCTGCGAACGCCTTAAGGGGGTTCCGCCTCCGCACAATGGAATTGTGAAGTGCGAGGTGCTGCAGACTGCCCAGTCTGAACCAGCAGCTGAGACGCGACACTTCTTTCGAACTCGCCTGTTCCTCAGGAGTGAGATCGGCCGCCAATCGTGGGCCCTATCTGTCTACTGCCCCCGGCCCCGTCCTGGTTCCAACGAGGGGGGAATTCCGCTAAGTTGGCCAGCATGGGCATTGTTACGGCCAACAATTGCATCGTACGCGAAGATGATTAGTGTCGCTTGTTCATACGACTGTATCTACACAGCGTCGCCATCTGCCCTCCGCCTGCGACCTCTTGTGCAGCAGAGTCTGGCGTCTGCAAGTCTTGTACAGCCAGCCTGACTCTGTGCAGTGTTTGTGTGTCTTTGCAGCGTCTGCTAGAAGGGTCCACAATCGAGGATCAGAGTCAGGTCCATGACTTCATCGGGTCGAGATCCTCACTGCATGGCACGACGTGTCTTCGTAGAGAATTAATTATCCACACATGACGTGTTGAACCTCAGTCGGAGAACGCTGTCGGGTCCTTTGCGTGCGAAAGTTGCCGTAATGCCATGGAGGGGAATAGACGACATCGTCAAACCCTGAACCCCAGTACGCACCTTGTACTATGTGTCAGGGCAGTTCCCAGCGAGCGCGCCCCTCCAATTCAACACCTCACACCCTCCGCAGAAGTCCTATCGTGAGTTGTCACACTTGCCGCGGGTCTTTATGTCCTTCAGCTGCTGCGATATGAGTCCTCGATCCTCTTTCCTTGACTTAGAGTATTCCTAGACTCCAGCACCCGCCGTAGCGCAATGCTTGATGATGGGCAACGAACATCGCGAACGGGACTGCTTAGCGGCGGTAGAGTTATCGATAATCATTTTTCGCAACTACTGACACCGACAACCTGACCAATAAGAAGCCAGATCCGGCGCGGTTTCTAGCGTGCTTCTAGCGCATCCCGAGTCCTGAGTAAGTCTGCGGCAGTGCGGCAAATGTTGGCCTGGTCAGGCATGTCTTCATGCCTCAGTTATAAGGCACTAATGACACCTGAGCACATGATGCCTGAAGCCTAACGCCTGACGGCTGACCTGCGCACGAGTAACAACTTGCCCGATGCCAACGTCGCCCCATAGTGTTGAAACATCCCTCAACCCTCCCAACCCACCGACGTCAATGCTTCCTTGGACTTGAGGACATTTACGGAGCAAACGCAGATCGAAACGTGCTAATCCCGTCCTGTGGAGGCGGCGCAATCATACATAGGCCCGACTAATTAGACGCTGCCGCTGCCCTACCAGCCCAGTCCAGTCCTTGACGCGAGAACGTGCTTATCTTGTGCTTGTAATAATACCTGCTTTCTCGGGTCTCGCTATCATCTGGAAAGCATCTCGTATTACCCAGTCATCGCACAACCAGCGATGCAATTGCATGATTATCACGAGGCAGGCGACATGGGAAGCTCAAACTATGCCTGTGAACTCAATACCTACTCGGTCTTCCTGTATACCTAGGCATATTAGATCTGCAAATCCAAGGCGCTGGGGGCTAGTCCCATCCCAATTCTTCCATCGTACGTTTTCTTATAATAGATAGTACGACGTACCACGCTAGCTGATCACGTGGCCAACACTAGAGTACATCCCATAACAAAGTACAACACATCATATCATCATCATCATCGCCGCTCCTACATCGTATGCGCATCATATCGCATAACATAACATAACATCATCTCCAACAAAAGCCATCACCCTCGGACTCTACTCTCTTTCTTTTGGAAAAAATGATATCCCTAATCCATGCCCGACTGAAAGAAGGCCACCCCCCCTCTCCCGCTCGCATCCTTGCCCTAGCCTGCCCTACCCACCATTATGTCACTCAGTCACTCGCGTCTCTATAGTTACACCCATTCCCTGTCCACACATGTCCTATATCACCGACCGAACGTCACCGACCACCGTGCGTCTGCCACGCGAGGACATTGTAGACTTTGTAATAGCAGTAGCAGCAACAACAACATAGCTCACCATCCCACGCACAGGCTTCCAAGCATGTCATTGTCATGTTTCACATCCGACCAAGTCCAGTAACGATTACACGGACGAGCACACGGATGGGGCAACGCGAGGAGGGGCCTTGGGGGGGGAGCTCTGAAACATCGAACCCAGGCCTGGAATGTACTGGCCTGTGCGGTGCTTGTACCACCCGGCTATTACTGTCATGTCGTCTAGTTCTCATAAGGCGGATGCGGAATGCGGGATAGATGTGTATGTTGAATGTCGGTTATTATTGCCTGCTCTGCTATAAGTGTGTGGGTGTGTGTGCTATGTGTGTAGGAGTGATCAGCGTCGACACTAACAAGTATCACAATGATCACCACGGATCCACAGCAAAAGCCTAATACCCCAGCGCACCGGCATACCAGCTCTCAATCCGACCATCCATCCATACATTGGCCATTCGTATTATCCGCTAATGCTCGACAGACCTCCAAATCCGGAATCCGGGTTCCGAGGCAAGAAAGAAAAATTTGCTGTTCACATACATACGTTTGCCCACACGCACATATACAGACTGGCATACCCACACGTATATGCGTGCCCACATCAATCGATCGATGGATTTATTGGTAATTTCGTGCTTTATTGGCCGTGCTTCTCCCATTTGTCGGTCGGTCAGTCAGTACATTGAGTCACTCATTCAGTCAGACAGTCAGACAGTCAGTTAGTTAGGCTATTGATATTGCGATAGAAAAGATTGTGGATATGTATCCAGGATGCAGGTAGGCTTGGAGGTGGTGGTGGTGGGCCAAGGTCTGGACCGAGGCTGTAAGCTGAGAGGCTGGTGCTGATGCTGCTGCTGCTGATGATGATGATGCTGAGAGGCTGAGATGCTAAGAAGTTGGCCTGTTGGCCTGTTGGTGTTGGTGTTTGTACCACACCCACTGCACTACACTACACTGCACAACCCAACACAACGTCACACTATGCTCACGAAGAGAAAAAAAAAGCATATATCTCGTAATATCCTACACCTCTCGAAGATACACCCTTGTAAGTCCGTCCTGAATACGTGAGTGCGATCGGGTGTTGGTCTTCGTATACGAGAGACTGTATCTCAGCTGGGGCTGTCTCGTGTAAGCAGTCTGGTAATGCGGTTATTGGGTTGGGGCTAGGAATGGTGAGTGATCGGTGGTTACTGATCTCAGTATCTATGTATCTACCTATCGATCTCTCTGCTCTCTGTTTGCCAGTCCATCTGTGTCTTCTATGTATACATCTATACCCTGCGCGCTAGCAATGTTCATGTGTATGTGAGTCTATACACTAACTATGAGACTACGTTTGTTCTGAATTGTCATCTCCGTCTATTCTTCGCATGTTATTACCGTATCGTCGTACTTAATGTGCTTGGGGTCGTCTGTGTAGTCTGTGTAGGCTGTTCACACACCATTATGAAAACGAATACAACCAAGTAGGTAAATGGAAATGTACACTTGATGTAGATACAGAATTTACTTACAGATACTAGCTTAGGGATTGAGAATGATAATATCAGATATCAATTGTACAGGTAACTTTATCTCGTGTCCTCTATTCTTATATCGTGGCATAAGATGGCTTATCAGTTGCCAAATGCTACCCTCAATCGTCCGAGCCACTTCTTCAGACTGTCAACTTCTCGATGCATTCAGAAATTAAATCCAACTTCTCGATCACGACCTCTCCCCAGGACTCACTGGCGTCGTGGGCTCAACTCTTCCTCGGTTACATTCTCCCATCGAGGTATTCCAGTGAACGTCTCGCTTCCCCTGCGTTTGCTGTGAACGTTTGCATTCATAGTGGCTGCGACCGATACGACAGAATTGCTGGATGGGATCGTATGCTTTCAACTCAGATAGCGTCTATGTAGAAGTGTCTTAGCATCCATTGGAACAAAATCCCACGTGGGAAATCTAAATCACACAAGAAAAGACCAAGAGACGAGTCCTGGGAACCCTTCAGGAGGTTAAGGACCTCATGGGAGAAACAGACATGAACTCCCAGAGGAGTAATAAGGAGATATGCAGCATCCTTCTTGTTATAGCGAAATTTAGTGGAAATAGGGACTGTAGTACCCCTACTATAGCACACATTACATCTACTAAATGATGTCCTCATGGAAAGAATTAAACTGTTATATACAAGCATAGCTACAAGACCACATCTAACAGTATGCGTATTACATTAACCGGACGGGATGCTCGTGCAATAGTCTGCTTTGAAAGTATTCAGGAGTAGCGACTTCACTTTTATGGACGTCAAAAGAGTGGTTCTCTTTATGCCGTACTATAGTCGACGCTAACAAGAATTTCAGAGCGAGGCTTACAGTTTCTAAGCTACAGGACGATTATTTCATCGCGATAGTAAAGAGTAGTGGCTTCTCTAGCTATAGGAAGCAAACCAACCTAGGACAGTACACGTCTCTAGCTTCTCATCTCTAAGTACCTTGCAATGATAAGCATGATTAAGTGGCTAAGAGGAGTCATGTTACGGGATGTAGCCGCTGGGTCCCAAACGGACGTGTAGATTCAAGCTCATATCATTCTTCTTTCGGACAGCTGAATATAACCTCCTAGTTCATAAGCTCAGCAAGCTAAAGATGGCAATTAAGATCATGCATCAAGATGTTAGTAGCATGAAGTCTGCAGCGAAGAAATCCTACTCAAGGTTCTTCCCCAAAGACAATGTACAGCTTGCCTCAGGGGTTCGTTTAGCAATTCTAGAAAAATGACAACACACATGGTGAGCTTTGCAACGTGCCTTCTCGCCTTCGATCATCTGGACTACCTGGAGCAACTCTTTCGAGAATCCCAAGGAGAGAATATTCAAGATTCAACTCTAGTCCCAACGTGCGACTAGGGCCTTTGCCACTCTTGCTCAGTTCAGAGGCCATAGAATTGATAATGATGTATGTGAGTTCTTTATCTGCTCTCATATTCTCGATGCTAGAGCTTATGACGCCCTAGAATTTCTGGGACTCTTTGGTAACCTTTTTGCTTAGGTAGTACAGAGCAGCGTCTCCGGAGGTTGGACGCCTATTGGTCTACTATAATGCTCGCGAGGGTAGTGTTCTTGACTGGAGCTGTAGGGGTTTATGACGCTTGATCAGCTCCCTCTTCAATTTTGGTTCTCATGACCTTTGTGAGCTTCTAAGTGTCATGAAATCAGCCTTGGTGGGTTTGTCGCGCTGTGACTCTAGAACAGCATCGGCAAAGACTACTTCTGCTTTAATACTCTTGTTGACTACTTGAGAGGTTACGAAACCTTATAAGAGCATGGATATTCTAGATGACCCCCCTATTGAAGTAGCAACCTTTTTCCACTTAGTCTTGCTACTCCCTTTAGTATGTCTACCTGTCTTGCTCGATATGTTCGAGGAGTTTGCTATGACATTGGAGATGAGATCATATAAGACACTGTCTCTGTACTTACAAGAGACTTGGAAAATTCATCGTGAGCTTGCGTAAGGACGAGAGTCCTATGAATAGTGTCAACATAGTTGATACGCCTGCACCAGTTCATCTACCAATTAGTCAAGCAGATGGTCCGCTTATGGTATCCACTTAGAATATAGTCCTAAAATGTACGCCATATAGTTCCTGGTGCAGAGACTCCTATGGCTCCTAGGTTTATTCATTACCATAGATATAGTTAGATAGCCTTCTTGCCGAAGGTGATGCATAGCGACTCCCTGTTCCTAAATACCATCCTAGACCAAATAGCGAGGCTGAGGTACTTTATCTTCCTTGTAGAGGACACAGTCTTGCTGATCTTCCGAAAGGGCCGTTCACTGTCCAAAGCAGGAATACACATACAGATTACATCTGTTCTCGACTCTGACGTGGCAAGTCCACATTCTAGCATGCTTCTTCACCATCTCTAGAATAACTTCTATTATAATAAAGGGCGAGGTATGTCTACTAAGACTGACTTAGTAGATTACTCATGTGCCGTTCTTAAGAAAAATCTTAAACCAAAGCTAAGGTCGGCTTGGCAGGCTGATATAATAATATTTCTTATTCCTTGCTTGATTAAGTAGTTATACTTCTGTTGAATTCCAGAACGTATGTAGACATTAATCTTAGAAATTTCGATCTAGTCCTTAGGAACAGTCAAGTATAGCATGTCAACCTAGCGGCGCTTATGGAGAGTCATTACCGAAGTATCGGTGTTTAACAAGTAAATTCCTTAACCTAGGAGGCTCTTTCGTTATATTCTACTACATAATAAGATATTATATATTTTAATTATTGAAATCTCTTTGAGTTTATACTTACTAGCTATATAATCTCTTTTTTATGTATACGTACTTTACTCTGTCTATCTATTCTAAGTGTTATGTATATTCTACGAGTCACGTGTATTCTACCATAGTACACGAAAGATACGTATAATAAGTGTGAATTCATGACCTAACTCCACGCCCCCTACTTATGCATGTTCCTTTCATAAACCATAAACACGATCTAATAATCTAATATACATCCCACTTTCAAATAGCCAAGATCTTCTACCCCCTGATACCCTGTTTCCCTTAACTCCCCTGATAACTCCCCAATGTCCTGTCTAGAGAAAGTCTACGGGCGACGCATAGCCGCTTCCTGGCGTACAGACGCACACTGCTGCTCGTACTGGCGCCGTAGCTCTCGTATCCTGTCACGGTTTTGCTGCTCGTACCTCTGGAGATACGGCACTAATGCTGGTGCTGGCTCCCCGAGGGCCATCATTTCCGTATGGTACCTGTTGTGTGACCTAGCGATGGCTTGCTCGAGCTCTCTTTTAAGGTGGGCGAGTAGTTGTTCCTCTCGAGAGGAGAGGTTGCTGCTGTTGTTGCTACTGCTGCTGGAGATCTTCTGTTCTGGTGACATCCTGGGAGAGTTTTGAGTTTTGAGAGGGTTTATGAAGATCTGAATAGAATGCTAGAGATCAGGTAGAGTTGAAAGTGATGTTAAGATAGAATAAAGATAACCTTTCGATAGAGGAGAGTCGATCAGGAAAGACAGGTAGAGGAACGGAGCTCTCATGTAGTAGGAGAGAGAGAGGGGGATTTGAAAGTGAACAAATTACTACCTCTAAATAAGGGGTTGTGCGGACTGCCAAGCCCAACATGCCGGTCGTCGGCGAAAGTGAGCTGTTATTGAACAACCATGCAAGTGTGAAGGCACACAAGTGATTAGAGTTGTTCTTCACGAGACGGAAGCACATGCCGAAGGGTATCGGGGCGGGAAATGGCCATGAACAGGCGCAGATCGCCAGGGTAGAGTCACATATGCTTCATATTTCACTGGGCTCGAGAAGGAGAGATACAAATAAACAATCAGAGCCTAAAATACTAATATCAGAGCTGTTGGTACACCCCAGTCTTCAGGCAATGGGGACAGCTAAGATGAGTCCGAACTAGACCGAATGAGTGCCTCGTCAATCATCTTGTTTGCTATAGTCACTGTCGATATTCTTTCCAATTCCTTTTCTGAAGCCCTTACAGCTAATGAGATACCTTGGGCCAGGTAAGTAACGACATCTCTGGAGAGATCAAGCTGACATCACATGGGATACAGTATCTTAACTTCTAGAGCGATACTGAATTAGACTACCCAGGAGTCAATTCCCGTAGAAAGAGCATAGTAACTACAACCCTAACAGACTCAGGGGAATGAGAACATCAATACTAACTAAGAACTAGAACCAGTACACACACAGCCCGTAGAGCCAGCATAAACAGCAAAGAACCCAAGAAAAAACACCTCTAGCCACACCGTGCACGTCAAACCTCATCCGAGCATCCCATCATAACACCGATTTCTCTCCTGCACTTCTTTCTGTAAATCATTTTAGGTCTTCTCCTCTAAGAATCGCATATCCTCTTCTTAAAATCTGTTCCTAGCGTCGTACACCATTAACTCTGTCACTCTCACTCCCAAAACACTCACATGTTCTATCTCCACCGGCATCCCAGCACACCCCCAAGCAAACACGGCATACGTCCTGGACTCTCTAATATCTCACCAGACGTGAGCATATACAATCGGATACAATCCAAGGTCCTAGATTAGGATTGTATGATTAGTCACTCTAAAAGTACGGATTAAGCTTAGAATCTATACCAAGGGATTGAGATTGATTGTGTTAGATTAAATAAAGTAGGGTATATACCTATATATAGCCCGGGGCCCTATCTTAGGCCATATTCAGGCATCATTTCTGCCTAAGGCCTGTACTTTAGCCTTAGGCTCTAATATAGTAGCCTTAGGCAGAAATGATGCCTGAATATGGCCCAAGATAGGGCCCGCGGCTATATATAGGTATATATCCCACTTTATTCAATCTAACACAATCAATCTGACAAATCGGATTGAGATTGTACCGTCTTGGCAATCATTTTGAGGCGTGGATTGAGCTTGTATTCTCTATTAAAATTTTGGCCCAGATTGAGATTGCACAGATTCGGATTGTATATGCCCATCTCTGTATCTCACCAAGAAAAACAATGATCCCACCGCACACCTCTCACCTGCGAACACATACTTTCCACAGCTTCCCATACCTCCCGCACTCACCTGACCCTCACAAAGCAGAAAAACAAAACCAAGCCCTGGGACATCGAAATCGACCTCGGACACGCTCTATACATCCGGCGAGGTCAGCATGCATGAGAGCATCAATATTAGCATCAGCTTTAACATGAGTAATAGCGTCAGTGGGGGCACTGGCTCAACATCAACATCAACATCAACATCAGTATCAGCATCAGCCCGGGCAGTGACATTGAATCAGTGTCGGTATCATCGTAACCAGCGTCAAATTCGATATTAGTATCAAATCAACATTTAGAACCGTCCGCATCAGCATTTGTATCAAAATCGACCACAGCGCAGCCAGCATCAGCGTTAGGACGGGCGTAGGGGAGCGTATCAACATATTTCATATCAAGGGCGTAACTAACAGAAGAGGGGCAGAACCAAAAGCGCAAGAGAGGAGAGTGAAGAGACGGTATTCCTATAGTAAGCGTCGCAGTGCATTCTTCGCTGTCAGGGGTAGTCTTAGCATTAGCATCACCATCGTCAATCAACATTGACCCCAGCGCAGCCAGCGTCCGACGCCAGCGCAGCTGACGGTTAGGGCAACTAGTGAATAGGAGAAAGGGATGAGAGAATATTGGGGCTGATAAGGGCACAGCATGTGTGTGTAGCACTAGTGCTTAGACAAGATGGGGATGTGTTTAAGAGAGGATAAAAGCAAGACAAGAGAGGGAAGAGAGGGAAGAGAGGGAAGAGAGGGAAGAGAGGGAAGAGAGGGAAGAAGCTGGACATCCACAGCTAGCATCACAAGGAATTCGATCCAGGGCAGCATTAGTGCTGGCATCAACATCAACATCAACGTCCTGCACAGTTCGCCCTAACACCAGCGCAGCTGAGTGTCAGCAGGGGAGGTAGAGAAAAGGTAACTCAATAGAGTATGCTGTGACATGCGTGTGATACCAGTACCAGGAGGAGGGAAACCCATATGAGGGAGCATAAAAGGACAAAGGAAAGAGAAGGAAAAAGAGCGGGAAGAGACAGGACATCTATAGCAGCATGGTAGTACACTCGACACAGTCAACATCAGAGGCGGCATCAGAATCAACATTCTGCGCAGCCAGTATCAGGAAGTGAGTCGTCGCATGTGAAAAGGCATAGCATGGCATGAATATACCGCTCGTTAGTGCTAGCTAGGATAAAGGAAGGAATAAGAGAAGGAATAAGAGAAGAGCAGGAAGGTTATAAGAGGAGGATCTCAAGAGCAGGAACGATTCGTCAGCCTGAGCATCGTGGCCTCGTGTAAGCCAGGGGCATGCATGGCGAAAATACATTGAGAGAAATTGGATTAGGACTTTGGAATATATGACACATGAAGGACTTCATAGCCTTGTCGACATACGACATGTTATAAGTGGATGAAGAATATGGGGGCGAGGAAAGAAGTTTGAATGAATATGGAGGGTCTGTCTTCATGGTACTGTCATTTCTCGATGGAACGATCAAAATTGATATCCAGAAGCCATGTGTTTGACATTTACTGTAACCTACCGCCTTCCTCCCCTTGACTTGCCTCCAAAACCAGGCCCTCTGCCCGAGCCCCTCCCACTCGCCAACTTGACGACAAACGCGCCTCTTTCGATAGTATTCACAAGCACAAAGCCAGACGGGAAGAGAAAGTGGCTCCAGGTGCCAGCAAACTGCACAATTCCACCCACCGCATCGTCCTCAGGGTAGATATCGAAGAAGCCCTCGACACTGACCTTGCTTCCAGTCGGGTCCCTGCTGATGCTCCTGACATCATGCACCCACAGTCCGGCGCCGTAGTTACTCTGATACGCGAGACCATCGACGATATACAGGTTATGATCAATCGTCTTATGGTCCGTCGCAAAGAACGTCCCTGTCCACTTTGGATTGCGCAAGTCTGTAAAATCGATTATATGCGTGACTGGACGGCCGCTGGCAGCAGGCCCCTTGCCATCACGCTCATCGAGCTCGTCGTTAAGCAGTACGTACTGGTGCCAATTGCGCTCCGTCCACCAGCCCTGATGGCAGTACGTTGCGCCCGGGTAGCTGAGGCGCGAGAGCACTTCGGATGCAGGACGGCCGGATTTGCTGCTGGCATCGTAAACAGTGACGGTGTCCTCGTTGTATCCGACGCAGATGTTGCGGCCACGGAAGCTACGGTCAGGGCCGTTATAAGTCACGCACTGTGCGTCGTGCACGTATCCGTCCTGGCTGGCGCAGCCCGGAGACTTTGGCACGGATGGATCGGAGAGGTCTATGTACTGTAAACCAGAGGCACAGGATTGATTGCGTGGCTGGGCGCCGACGGCGATGGCGTATTCGTTGTCCCAGTCCACAACGACGTTGTGCGTGCGGCCGATGGGAATGGTGTCAGAGAACAGGCCGACGAGGTCCCTTTGTGGGTCGAATGTCACGGGCGAGCTAGGGTCGATATGGAGGAGTTTCTTCATGTCGAAGATCTGAACGTTGTGACCGACGGCTTCGCTGCCGATGATCACAAAGTCGTTCAATACTCGGATCTCGCGCCATCTTGAGCCGACGCTTTGAGCGGGCAGGCGACCGAGATATATGATTTTGCCCTTGTTGGTGATTTCAACAAAGGCAGCACCTGAGAACTGGCCCACGATACCGAACTCCCGTCCATCCTTTGAGGTCCATCCCCAGGAAGATGAGCCGGCGGCTTCGGGACCGCCCAGGTCGGCATGGTTCTTGAAATCGTAAAAGTCCATATTCTTGCAACGGAAGGTTTGATTGGCGTTTCCGGGCTCGACGATGGCAAGACCATCCTTGCATTTGACGCGGTCATTCTTGAAGTCAGGCTTCAGGCTGGACCATCTGTCCCAAGAGGGCCACTGATCAAGATCATGGAGGCCTACGGACTCGTCGTGGTCCCATTGTTCCTGAGTAGGTGTTAGAGCTGTATGAAGGCGCAGGACAGAGTCAGACGTACATTCTTCATGGTCATAAGCCGTTGATGAATGGCGCCGGAGGCGTACTCCTCAACAGCATATTCGGCAGCCTTGACCGCCAGCGGCGCCAATAGAACCAATGAGAGCTTCATTGCAAATGCCCAACAGCAATAAACTTCTGAAATGAGCAGGATTGAGCAAGTATTCGCTTCGTAGTGGTAGGTTTATATAAGAACTGTCATCGCTTTCCTCCGGTACAGGACATTTGCCTCTCTGCCATATCTTCTCGCTGTTCGTCATGATAGCAACCTTGGTTACATCTGGGCAAAGCCACATTTCTGGGCAGGTTAAACTCTTCCAGAAGGTAAGATCGGCACCGCTCATCCGAAAGAAGAAGGTACCACACCTACTCTACGCGCAAGGCCTCCCTTCGCGGTCGGCTATCACTTGGCTCGACTTGGCTAGCGTGTGTTTATGTTAACCTCACTTGGCAAATCGATTTGTAGCACAGTATCTTGATAACTCCCCGCTCTTCAAGACTTACTATGACCAATTAATGAAGTATCCACAGGTTCAGCTGTATGTTCAGGGAGGATATTGCAGAAATGGGACCAAGGTGAGCACCAAGATGGCGAGTTCGGACGATCGGCAGTGCGCTTGGCACCAAGCCTTTGCCTACGACGATCTGGAGGATCACACGGCATGCTCTGTATGAGACACAATCTGTGTAAGGCGATGTGGAACTTTAGAGAAGCATTGGAACTTGTCGGATATCTGTATCCTCCTGTACGACGCTGTCATCGTTCTCGTGATGCTCATCAACTAACTCCAGGAAAAGTGCACACTGCCAAGCATCGCGGCCTTGCTGACATGCAGGCGGAATCGCAAGTGCAATCTTACTTCGGCGGGGTACTCAAGATAGCAGGTAGGGCTTCACCGACAGTCATACGTTCAGATCTTACGTAGCTTGCAGGTATTCGCCAAATTGTACTCAGATGTCTATGCTGTGTTCGACTCAAATTGGGCATTGTACTATGCGAGATCATCTACAAATCTCACAATGGTTAGCGCCAGTCCAACGAACAGAACGGTCATGGCGACCCTAAACTCGCGCCTGTGAAGACGATTGTAATTCTGTTCGAAGATCTGCGCACCGTAAATACGAGCGTTGTCGGCACTCATGATGACCCTGCGCCAGATGTAAGCATATATGTCAGACAGAAGGATCTGTGAGTTACATAGCTATAGCAATCGCTAGCGCCTCCAAAGCTGTACAGATTAGGCTCCAGCTCCATCATGCGATAATCAGCTAGTGGCTGAATGTTCCCAATGTTTGTGTTCACATCACACGATGAACTTTACCCACCCTGCCGGCCAAGAATAAGGTTGATCAAATAACTCAGGAGATACGTACTCATACCTAGAGTAAGATAAGATGCCCTGACTTCATCGTGAGACAAATTATAGACTGGCGAAAGTGTATGTTCCGCTCGCCCAGTCCGCCTGATCCACCTGGAATTCCCTGTCACAGTAACAACATGCTACTTGGAACACGACACCTGCTTAGCTACGCCTTCACTGACATCGATATAGGCAGCTGTCCATTTTCGACGCGACACGAAGAATCTGCTCCTGAGCGACGCGACATATAGTTGTCAGGTCTGCTATCATTGAAGTATGCCGAAATGTGGAGATACGACAGTGTTGGAGTTTAGAATGGTACGAGAGTGTCGATTTCCAGACTGAGTATACAGGTCAAGGGATAGTATCATAGTCCTGTTTTGCGTTCTACCACACTGGGCAGTCATGCATATGCCACTTGGCTGTCGAGAGTGCGCTTGGTGGAAATGTCTAAGACGCAACATTTCCATGATCGCTTGATCGTTTTAGGTCCTGGAATAACACATCTTTGTCCGATCCGCTCTGGCACTCTCTGTGCTGGACGATTGGCCCGACACTCGATGTTTGGCTACGTCGGTATGTATGGCGTGCTCTCGCAGGTAATGCCCATTCGAACGTCGAAAAAAATAAGCTGGAGAATGTTCAAGGGGCCACTCTGGAAACCTTCACCGTTCGCTTTCGCCCTTTTGATTGACATATATCGAAAGACTGGAGCCCCTGCTCCTTGCCTACCATTTGCCATCGTAAGTGGTATGCAGACACGAACAGTATGTCAGTATCACCAGGCCGAAAAGGATTCGAGCTGTCAAGGCGTTGACAAATTACAGCGATAAACCAACGAGCGTTCCGAAGCTGTCGTTCGTGTCTGTGTCGATGCTGGATCCGAGATGTAGGTTATAATCCGCCCTATAGATTTCCTTAATATAAGGAAAGCTCAGATTAGGCTGCTGAGATAGCAGTTCCTTCAGAGCTTCCAGATAGCTGAACCTATTGGAATGAGACATGTGTGGCTTGTAATGTTGGAAGAGATTGCCCAGACCTTGCTTGTGTAGCCACGGTCCGCATTTGACGACGGAGGCATAGATACCACTTGGAGTAATGACGATGATGTCCAAGAACTTCATGAGATGACTTTGACGCAGTACTGTTAGACTAATGATATATATAGGCTCTCTGTTGCAAGTCTAGTGATTGAGCTCCGCTGAGAGCGCTCTTGACGCGAATGCCCGCACGGCCACAATAGTGGACAGGTGAAGAATTGCCAGTGCGTTCTTTTCCATACGTGTTTCTAGCATCTGTATGAGGCTCGATAAGTCGCTCGCCTGTCTATAGCAAGTGCGATGTACTTTCAGGGTTGCTTATTTGGGGGATAACTTGGCTTTCCTCTGGCTGCACTTTATAGAGCCCGTGCGGGATATAGGTAGTTTAGACATGGGCGTGTTGCTGCACGTCGACAATCGAATTGCGATCGATTTCATAATATTTGAAGTTCTGTTGCGCAAGATTCGATTACCAAATTTACCCAGTTAATCTTAGGGCGTTGTTGGTGACAGATCTGACGTCACTTTAGGCTTTCCGAAATGAGATAAGGGACAGCCTTTGTATTGAAATACTAAGGCTATAAATGAAATATGAATTTTGAGGGTGATAGGATCGATGTGCGGCTTCGTATACCTGTCGCCAGGAGTCTCATCCTTTACGTGTTCGAACTCACATACCTGGATAAGATGTCTGTGAAATCTGAATAATAACTAGATCTATCTTACTCTTATGCAGCAGATAGACAAGAAAAGTTCACGGAGTCGATTTGATTGTGTCTTCTCGACGATAGCATCGATCGCAATCCAGCGTCAGTCCATGTAGGATCTTCTAGTTCGGCATGTCGCTTAGTGTTCCACGTCGTGTCTCGACTTTACGCTTCCTGTATGGATGGATAATTTCACAGAGCACGGGAGTCTGCCTTGGAAGTTGGCACAAATCCTCGGCCGAGAAAGCATTAGGTAAGCAGACGGGATGCCAGCTTGGTATCCAGGGCAGCACCTGATGTACATATGATGATGCCTCAAAGTCTTGGACGTGTGAGTGGGAATAAGCAACCCAGGCAGCGCTATCCGTGATGTTTCTGTGATGGCGAGGTCAGTCTCAGATCAGCATGGACTGTAGCAAGTATTCACATATTCCTGCTGGAGGTGTATTGATCTCAGAAAGCAGCTAGCATAATATTAGTGGTATTTCTCCATTCGGTGCAGATCTTTGAACAGGTGGTGATACATGGGTCGCCCCGGTGCTGTAATTCTTACGGATCAGCATAACTGCATACTCGATATCATTAGTCAGCGTTCTGGAAGCATAGCACTATGCAGGCTCCTGCAGGTACAGGAAGAAGCAAGACTGAGGTTGCGATCTGCCATAACTTCCTCTTCGTGAAACCCAGTCCTCCTCATACTGGAGCCGTTGCAGAGGCAATTCTGGTAGGCTGTCAAGTCGGTGACGATGTACAGAGACTGAGGAGCGGCATGGCCTGACCGATGGGCGAGTGGAATATCGGTGGCGGTGTAAATCGGCATGCAACCTACTGCGTGAGCTTCTACATATTAGGACTTGCATGGTACGTCAAAGTGCTGCGCGCTGGCAGTCTGCGCCTTGTGCGTGGCCCCGTAACGTGCCTAGATCAGACGTAGTGCAGGCTTCATGCTGGCAAGTCATTCCCATCCTTGTCGTAGGGATTACAGTTTATGATATTAGCAACTTTTGTGTGAAATGTGACGCATCGGATCCCACCGCGACACGGACAAGTCGACGCATGAAGAGTTTATCTGGGGAACGACGGCAGCGGAAGAAAAGGGCCCACGAGGCGGAGGAAAGGGCCTTGCCAGCGCCGGTTAGGACTTCCGAATATGCCATGGCGAGGTGGGCGAATCCGAAAATGATACGATGCAAAATGGCGCATTTGCAATTTCTCTGCGTGGGTGAGGCGTTCGTTGTAACTTGCTGGCATATTATTATTCATTGCTGTGCGAAGCCTAAACCCAAAACCCAGCTCGGGGCACTGAAGCCTGAAGAAGCCTTAGAAAGCCTGAGGCATCAACACTCTTTAAATTGCCATTGATCCCTCCCACACCACTTTTCTTGACCGCAATTCGTACACATTCACTTCTTACTGTTAGCCATACAAACAAAACATATCAGTACTTACTCTCACAGCCGGTTCGCAGTAGTAGTCGTTTGCCACTACGAATACCGGGACCAAGGTGCGTTCAGTGTCCAATGCTGGCACTAGAAGCTCGCTTAACGCAAATTCTGATGACGTTAGTTAAAACAACAAACTTCATCTCCTCGACTCTTCGCTCAACTCGGATCTTCGCTAACCCGCCAATTCCACTATCCAATGCTGTGCTAAGCCGTCTATACATCACTTCGTCTACTCAGATTTATTTTATGAAATCGCAGAAGCTCGCGCGATTCCTCGTACAGCGTTCTAAGTGAGTCTGCTGTCCCACCGCCTCTCTGCCTGATCGCGCGACAGTCGACAACTTCCGAATGACACACAGCTAACTCAAGTACAGGCCCAGATAACACGCACATTTTCACGTACTCAATCCCCATATACCTTCCCTAGCAGATCCCATCGTCTGCTGATCCCGGTACTTCGCCAAGGGTATCGGCTCAGTGCGACGACAGTCACAGTCGCCAACATTTTAGGGCGTCGAGCCTTCTTCTTGCTCCTTTCCGTCCGACCTCCCTAACGTCCGCCAAGGTCGTTTCTAGTATAAGATACATTGCTGCTGGCTTAAGCCAGCCTCCACTCTACACCCACCATCCGTGGGCCTTCTCTTCTCAGACGAGCACCGCACCGCTTGTCTGGGTGGCAGATTGTGCTGCACCTCGCCTAAAGCCACTGCAAACTGTCAGCCTGTCAAGACTTAATTCAATACAATTCCGTCGGCACCGTTTGAGGCCTCCTGACGGCGATGATCAATACTGAGATCCCAAAACACTACACCGCCTCGCCGTCCTCTCATCAAGGGACGCCACATCTGACCATCAATCGCGATGCGACCTTGGACCTCGACTCCAGCACTGCCTTTGAAGGTCCGGAGAAACTCCTGGAGGTATGGTTCAGTGCTTCCCCTGAAACTCTCCCGAACACGGTGCCTGCCAACGGGCTCAAGGCAGTATCACCGGAGACATGGAAAGAAATGCTGGATTTGGTCAACTGCAAGGTGCTATCCATTGTTGAATCTGAACATGTGGATGCCTATCTTTTGTCTGAATCCTCGATGTTTGTCTTCCCCCACAAGCTTGTCTTGAAGACCTGTGGAACCACCACTTTACTATGTGGTCTGCCCCGTATGCTTGAGATTGCTTCTCTCTCTGCGGGCTTCCCAGGCCTTGATTCCGACCTTCCGCAAGGCGTACCGGCTGCAGCAACCCCGTACCGTGTGTTTTACAGCCGCAAAAACTTCTTGTTTCCCACGAAGCAGCACGGTCCCCACCGTAGCTGGCGTGACGAAGTCCAATTCTTGGACCGAATGTTCCTGGGAGGAAGTGCGTACATGATCGGAAAAATGAATGGTGAACATTGGTACCTCTACATTACTGGACCTGACACACGTTTGACGCCACCGGGCACACCTGATTCGGACAAGAGCTTGCTTCTCGGAACGGAGACCAAGTACTTGAGCCCCCCTCAGCGTATGATACCTTCATTGAGCTCCGACGAAGCGCAGGACGAGACTCTGGAAATTCTCATGACCGACCTTGATGAGGAGAATGCTCGGCAATTCTATCTCGAGGACGCGAGTGCGGTCGCGGAGGGCAAGTTTTTCCAGAAGACTCGCGATGCGCGAAAGGCTGCGATTTCCAGCCTCGGGACTATTGAGGAGGAACATGGGATTAATTCACCAGCATCATGTACTAATGGACTGGGGACCTCAGATGACTTTGACGTGTTCGAGCAGACCTCGTCCGACCACTCGGGATTCTCCTCGGACGAAGACGACTTAACGTTTCCAGAGGAGCTTACAACTGAAGGACACACGCTTGGGACTGTCGTGTCTGAAGCCTGCGGGTTGTCTGATGTTTACCCGACAAACAAGTACCCCGATGCCAAGGTCGATGCGTACCTCTTTACACCATGTGGCTTTTCTGCGAATGGAGTCGTGCCGTCTCCTGAAGGACCTAAGAGCGGCCACTACTTTACTGTTCACGTCACTCCAGAACCCCAGTGTTCGTACGCGTCGTTCGAGACCAACGTTCCAGCACGCCAGACGGGTCGCGAAACTGCCGATATTGTCGAGCAGGTTGTCAAGATCTTCCAGCCAGGCCGTTTCAGTGTCACTCTATTCGAAGCGAAGGACGATGACAGCCCGGAAGGCACGCTCGGCTTCGGTCCCGCAGCCAAAAGCTCGCGACGCATGGAAACAATCCCTGGTTACAAGCGCATTGATCGTATTGTCCATGACCTTGACGGATATGATCTTGTCTTCAGGTACTATGAACGCTGGGATTGGAAGGGAGGTGCACCACGTATTGGCGAGGTCGGGGCCTGAGCCCTGCATTCTGTATGCCTGGTAAAGCAAGTAGTCGCGAAGGACAGCTGAGACCACTCTTTGGACCTACTGTTGTATAGCAAGTCAATCTTGCTTGCGACTCTGTACGTACCACAGCAACCTGCGAGCCCTGTAGTTGTGCCACATGTACGTCTTCCCAATCAAGATTACCTGTCATTTCCTTACATCATTCACTCATAGCTATTGAATTCAAGGTCGCTCGTTCTTAACTTTACTTTGCCTGCGTGCACGCTCTCGCGACATCTCATCTTTCATCCTCGAACCGTGCTCTTTTGGATGCAGCCCTCGCTGCACATTCATTGTTATTGCATGTTGATCTGAGGACATTGGGGTGATAGCTGCCGTGCATGCGCGAGTCATTGTGCTTGTATGCGTGTGTGAGTGAGATAACGATGAGACTAGGAAGGATACTGAGGGATCAGTGTGGTTTTTGTTACGGCTCGTTGGGCTTCCACTCGACTTACTCAAGCACGTATGATACTGTTGTCAGATCATCTTGCAACATTTTTACGCCATGTGTGGCAGTGTTAATCAGAGGACTAATTAACCTGTTTGCCAGCTTGCGGCAATATGCCATTACTGCGGTCTTGTTGGACCGTAACAGCTTTCGAGAAACTTGATCGTAGCGTCAATCGCGAGTTGACCCAAGACCAATCCGTGACAGCACTACCGTGGAATTTTCACGTTCCTAATCAATGACCCGACTGAAAACATACTATCTTGCGACATTCCGCCACGCACTTATCCGCCAAATTGTTCCAACGATTCTGATGCCTCATGAGCTGCCATGGAAAGAGAGAAACCTTAGCCAGTAAAGGGCAATTAATCTTGATGTACGTTTCCGCCTGCAACCGCCGTGTGGACGGGGTTCCATGGATTTGAAGGGCCAAGAATTTATGTTAGCGCGGTACTTTTAATGTGCTCTACATGTGAGGGTATATAAAGAGGTGCTTGCCCCAGGGTTCTCTTGGTTGTGATAACAGTCATATATATCGACCATACATACTACCAAATACGACACCATTCAACAACAACAACAACAACAACAAGGATGAAGAACAGCAGAGAGATCCTCATGCAACGCGTCAGACGCGAATGTGACGACCTCAGTGCACCGTAGGTACTCATTCAATCATCACTACTCACCCCAAATTCATCGTTCCTCACAATCCCTCCTCACCACCCCTATTTTATCTGTCACCCCTGGCCTGCCACCCTAACATTCCTCCCTCAGCACCGGCAACATCTTCGTCCGGTCCTTCAAATCACAATCCGCCAGCACCGCCGACCCCCTAACAGCCCCTTCCTCTCCCTCCTCGGCTAATCCCCCTCCCCAACTCCCATGTCTCCTCCAAATCCCCCGCGAGATCCGCGACACCATCTATGCCCTCGTCCTTGCCGAGCCTGGGTCAAACGACCTATGGCGACAAGCACGAACTCCCTCCGCCGCCGATGACCGAACAAGCACCTTGATCTGGCTCTCACGCGGCCCCCCTTCCGCCGTCAAAGTAGCCAAAAAACCCACCGACGACCGCAATGTGCAGTCGCGCTCATCCCGCGGCTTCCTCGCCCGCAACATCCCAACGGCGCTCTTCGGCACATGCAAGCAGACCCGCGCTGAAGCAACGGCCACCCTCCTCCGCATGCGGCGCATCGTCGAGATATGCGCCCCCACATCCCCCAATTACCCCTTTGCTTCCACTTTCACTCCTCCCAGCCGCCCATCACTCCAACAGTCGCCACCGCGGCAGAGTGACCACGGCGGCTTCAGTCATGTGGGTGCACTGTCGAGCGTGATATTCGGCTGGACGGCCGGATGTGCGGTTGTGCAGTGCCTGCGCAATGTGCGCATTGTGGTGCGGGTGGGTGGTGGTGATTGTGATGATGTGGATGGGTTGCGTGGGACAGGTGGATTCCTGGGGTTGGTACAGGCGGCCGGGCATTATGCGGAGGACTACGCGCCCGGAGTGCACGTGGAGGTTGTGCTGCAGATTGGGGTCGGGGTGGAGGATGATTTCGATTTTGATATTGGGTTTGCGGATGGTGAGGAGGGGGATGGCGTTAGGCATGGAGCTGAGGAGCATAAGGGGAATGATGCGCAGGAGAAGTGCATTGCACTGCTAGAGGGCCTGGTAGAGGCTGCGCGGAAGGGGCTGTGGACGCGGGAATTGAAGCCCGTGTTGTGTGTTTATGGATCTGGTGCGCGGATAATGGAGTGGGCGGCGCGGTATCCGGGGTGGGAAATCGAGGCGGTGGTGGAGAGGATTAGGTGGCATGTTGAAAAGGTAGCGAAAGAGGGATGATTATCAGGGGCGTGGTGCTGGGGAAGGTATGTATATATTCAGATTCGATTTTGTTGAAAAGCCTTACCACTTCAACACGTGTGTATATGGATGTCCTTGCCTCACAGGACTTTCTTCATGTCTTACTTTAATTCGTGTCTATCAAATGGTGATCTATTCTGGTTGACGTTGGACACAGGGTATATTCTACTCTTGTTTCATATTGTTGTTTATAGTCCGAAGTTAGTTTGATCTCACTCGCCTTGTCTCGAGATCTCAACTACATTCTTCTCTCTAGTGAAGAAGCTTTACGCGAAGGAAGGTGATGTTGGGCCTGATATTTCCTGTAGACGGAGAGCTGGGCAGTGAGCCATGCGATACACTTGGAACCCACTCAACACACTCGGCAATAACGTGGTAGAGGCAATGCCCGCTATATTATGATTCAATGTCTCTCTCGAATGCCAAAATTTGTAATCGCTTGAGGTTGTACAACAAGACCGGTATAACTCCTAGCATCACGCCAATTAGCAGGTCCGGCAGCCAATCACAGAAGACGTTCCCTTTGGCTAATTATTGCATTATTAGCGCAGCCCAAAACAGAGTCACTTCAGCACCCCCAAACGCCGCAAAGTAGCGACACAAGTCCTCTCCACTCACTCTCACGATCTTCCAACCAAACCAGTCTAGGCAGCTTAAGCCAGAATGATCAAATTTTCAATCGACACCGCCCCCAAGGCTGATTCAGTCAAGGAACATCAAGCCGGGCGACAACTGCCAAGCCGCCAGCGCCATTCCTCGCGCCAGCCTCGCATCGCTTACTTGACGCATCGCCAGGTATAGCTGCAGCTTATTACACCAACCGTATATAACGTTATGCCGATCGGAAGCGCCTACTAGCCGCGCTTATTGGAGCCCCCAAAGCCATCCTGCGGGCGGGAGGACGCAGACGCCGCCTCATGGCATCCTCGGGTTCCATGTGAACGGGTATTACAACGGTCGTGGTGTGGCGTTCGGGATGTGTGCTTGTGTAGAGAGAAATGCGGGGGGCTGAAGTCTGGACAATGTTCTTGGGATCAGGCTAAGAGATTCCGCCTGTTCGGCGGTGGTTATGTGGTGGGCTCTTTGACGAGCGTATAGCATAGCCCCTGGCTTGATTAGCATGTTTGGAGAACGCGTGGACTGTTGGTGGCAAGACATTCAATGTGTTTTGGTGTAGGACTTGTCTTGTAAAAGGCGTCAGAAAAATCTTGTCGTGGAAGAATGGATCATGCTAGGCAGAAGGAGGATCTGTTGGTTAAAGATAGGTAGTCCGAATGGAAACGTTGTAGATCATGGCATGGAAGCTGTAATTTACAGGTGGGAACATCACAATCTTTGATGTATAAGGGCGTTGGACGAATTAGGCTTTTGAGCAGGCCAATTCAGCTTAAGGTGCGTTAAAGTACGTCCATATCAGAGGCATCATAATATGTGCCATGGTACTGGCCCCCAGCCAAGAGGCGTCTTGCACTTGGACAACAGACTGTTGATTAGAAATGCAGACTCAAGTCTTGATCTGGTCCATCATATCCTGATCATACTAAGACATATTTAGAACAGAAGCTAATACTGCTATAGACGACAAGACGAGTCAAATCATGCGCCACCAGTGGCTTGTTACAATGCCATCACGCAAAGCTTGCGGATAAGTATATGCAGAAACTGGGGCTCAGGTTTTATCCTACATTCCTCGGATGGTAGAACTTGTGTTGATGGACTCTCAGTATAAGCGCCGTCTCTGATACGACTACAAGCTCTGATTAAACCTATGTTGCTATTCATGTATATGAGATCATCCACTGGTTGGCAGAGTTTCAGCCGCGACTAAATTGAACAGGGACCGTCCCTGCCTTGGAGACCTGTAGCAAGCCAGTCTTGGCGTCGCTTGCAAGGGTGGTGTAGCCAGAAGAGACGCATTGGGGGCTTTGACTGCGAAGAATTTATACTGCTTCTTTGAGCTCAGATGTTATAGCCACAGCATCGGACGTCAATCAAAGTTATTACATAGACAACAGCATCTCATTGTAGGATCAACGTGGCTGTAGACAATATACTATACGGCGGAGACATAGCGATTATAGTGAACAAGTACAGCGTCACTAGGCTAACGGCGAGTTCACAATTCTTGTATGATGGATCATCCGCATGATTCGATTGAATAGCGCCCGCGTCCAAGGACATACCAAAAGACATAGGAAGTACAGTGCATAAGTTGCAGCTGTGTTGTCGCATTCGGAACGAAAGCCAATTACATGCCAGATGTAAAGCTAGTGCAGCAGGGGCAATGTGCTGTTAAACGCGGCCGGGTTACGATTGATGATTGCTGTGTATATGTCCAGGTGCATCGAGCTGACATATACACACTCGGCATGGTCGAGGACTGTTTCCGGAGGACAAGAAGATTGGCTTGGCAATTCGGCTTCATCTTTGCTAATTTGCTACTAGGTAGGCTAGATGCATATATATGATTGGATAGGAGCAGCATACTCCGTTAGCCCAAAGGAGCTAGCTTTCCGTGCTTAGGTTTACTCTATCTTGACTAAAGATGCTAGTGAGGTGCGCTCGGTTAATCCTTCGAAGACGCCTTGCGGATTGGTTCGATGCTATCCTCTTCTGATCAGTTGTAGTACTTGAGCTGATCTACGGGCTGAACTGTACCTTATGCATCCTAAAGGCTTGATTTTATGGCTTCGTGCGGCGTGGTCCTTGGTATGGTACGCAATTTGGACAGTGCAATGGACTCTGGGCACACTATCATCACAGACTCCCAGAAGGGCCAGGCCCTCGCATTCTGTTCAATCTCATACTTATAGGCTCAGTTTCTCATTCGAGTCAAAGTTAGAAGCCCGCATACTACCAATACCGGATTAAATTTGAAGCATTCCAAATCAACTACAAATTGCAATGACAAAGCCTCGTCTAGGCCATAAAAAGTCTCGAAATGGATGCATGCAATGCAAAAAGCGCCGAGTCAAGGTAGGTCTAGAGAAATGCATGTACGTGTAGAGTCTGACTGACCTTGTCACAGTGTGATGAGCAAAAGCCCTGTGGTCACTGACACAACGCCGATTGTTCATTGCTGTACCATGATCCAAGGAAGAGTAGTGATGGAGGCAGCCCGCGACGCAGATCTCAAGTACGTATCACGATTATAGTCAGTAACTTGAGTTTGACTGGTATGATACAGGTCCGCATTCTACCAAGTATCGCAAGATCTCCAGCTTCATCCAGTGAAACATGTGTGAGTGAGACGAGTTCACTGTCTCCTCCACAACACCCATATCAAATGATCGATTCTCAAGCAATATCGAGTCCGCTATTCTCAAGTCCCTTCATAGACTTCGACAACCTCACATTCGATCACAACCCTACAGGCTGGATTGATGACCTCGAACTTCTGCACCATTACACAGCATTCACTAGTGCAACTCTTGTACAGAGCACAAGTCGATTGCATGTCTTCCAAGTAGCACTTCCACAGCTTGCATTTTCGCACGAATATTTGATGCATGGTCTGTACAAGTAACACCCCTTGCTCTCGTAGGGAATTATTTAAGACTCACAACTCCAGGTATCCTTGCGCTTTCGGCTCTTCATCTAGCATACAGATGTCCTGGAAGACGCAACGAATACACCCTGATGGCCACTTACCACGAGCAGATTGCACTTGGAGAGTTCCGTGCAGCGCTATCTCAAGTCACGTAAGAACATGTCTTACGAATGAAAACATGCAGAGGATCAGTACTGAATTCCTCATAGCCAAGATAACTGCCACGCCCTTCTTGCCCTCGGTGCTCTCCTCGCCATCATGCCTTTCGCAAGCACGGCCTCCCAACGCTCCCTAATCCCAATAATCCCAAGCATGGACGAAATCGCGCAATCGTTTCACCTCATCCAAGGGATCAAGAACATCCTGCAATCACCATCAGCCATTGGCATCGTACAAAATGGACCCCTAGGTCCGCTACTTCGATGCGGGTCGCCTGTTGCGCCAGGCACGCTAGGCGGCGCCTTCGCAGAATCACTAGACAAACTCGAACATCTGAACAACGGAGGTATTGTCTGTAAGTCAATGCCGGCAGACCACATCGCTTGCAAAGGTGCGATAGCGGGTCTGAGGCAGACATACGCGTTGATCCGTGCAGAAGACGTGGTGAGGGAGTTTGCCGTCTGGACTTGGCCGTCACTCGTGCCAGCGCGATTCCTTGATTTGATCAGGCAGAGGCATCCGATGGCACTGGTTATTCTGGCTCATTTTGGCGTTCTGTCGAATCTGTTTGTGAACTCCTGGTTTCTTCGGGGCTGGGGTGCGTGTGTGCTTCAAGGGGTGGTAGGAGAATTGGATGCAGCGGGACTAGGGATGAGAAGATGGGTCGATGAACCAATAAGGTGGCTCAGACAGGGTGTATCATTGTGAAAGTTCCAGCTTCTTTGTCCTGTGTGTTAGCGTTGTTGGAGGTTGTCTAAGGGTGGTCTGCAAGTTCTTCGTCTTGAGCGTGGCATTGGAGGCGTTGTACTGAGCAATAGATCTGTGGACAACTCACAGCTATTACGAAGAATCTCATATATGCTTGTATGTCCTCGATGTCTGAGCTGGCACCCAGGCGAATCAAAGCCGTATCCAGACATCAAGCAGCTCGGACCTTCTGCCCCTATTCGCCCATGATCAAAATACGCGAAAACATACTTTCCAGCATATACATACCATTTCTTCCACTCCTTAACATCCAGAATCCTGAATTCCCTCTCAACCGCCTCACCTATAACTTCCATCTAGCAGAACCCCGCACACTGTCCACCAACCACGAGTCCCATCAGACCGCCCACCAAGCATAGCCCTGCCCAGCTTCCTGCCAAGCTCATAAGATCCTTCCGCCCCCAAGTCCCACTTCGAAGACGTCCGGCAACGACCGCCCCTGCTCTCCGGCATCCGTGGACACCGGCACCGTCCATTTCCAAGATATTCAAAGCCCGCGCAAAGCATCTCTTCCACAAACTCCGAGTCTGGCCAGTCTGCTGACCAATACCCCTCTGCATCACAGGCTTCACAGCTCTTACGCACAAAAAAAACCACCACTTTCCTATATCAGAATCAGTGATACGATCTTAAAACAATAGCCAGTAATTCCGTAAGCATCAGACACACACCAACAACACCAGAGCTACAAACGCATGGCCAATGCCATACATACATACGTACATACATACATACATATCATGCACGCCCTCAGCGGCCCGCCGCCAGCTAGCTAGCTCAGGCCTCCCAGTCCCCACTTAGTCCATCCACCCCATGTAAAGGCCAATTTTCAATAGAACGATTGGTCCAATCGTCTAAGAGCCTATACTGAGTAAGGCCAGATATATATATGCATGGCCATGTCAGACGCGGCTATATATAGAACATCTCGGCAGATCTGCTACTACTGTAGTAGCCAAGGGGAGATTGAAAAGGTGGACATTAGTTAGTTGGTGCTTGGGCTGAGTTCTACTTCTCTCATTTTTTGTTTTCGTAAGGGTGTACCGGTTATGAGCAATCCCCCTTGTTGACATGTGGCTGGGATTTTTCGTTATCGTACATTGGCTTGTATGTTGCTATTAAACTAGTACAGATGGCTGTCTTTGGACCATGGAGATTGTTGAGAGCCAAGATTTCTCACCCACATTCGTTTGATACATAGTTGACCTCCAGACTTGTACGGCATTGAATTCACTATGCACACGAAAATTGCAAGGCTTCGAAATAACGAACTGAATTAAATGGATGACATTCTGCTAGATATTTCAATGCCTTTCATTGAAACCTTTAGTGGTTCGCTATACATCATCTCGATGCGCTGCTTGATTTGCGCCCCGTCCCAACTCGTTGATATATGGCACCGTGGCACCACAATATTCCACATGCAAATACAATACTCCAGACACCCTGCATATTCGAGTCCCTCTTACATGTTTTCATCACTCAGACACACACAAATACTTCCATACAGTTCAGAGCGTTCTATCACCCACTCTCCCACTCTGCGAAAACACACCACCTTGCACTCCGATCAGCAAGCACTAGGCCTCTCCATGTGCCCTTCTCTCCAATCTTAATCACAGTCTCCCATACACTTCCATCGCCACTCTCATGGCTACTGACCATATGCTCGCCCTTTCTGATAAAGCGAATAATCTTGCCCGTCGGACTCTGGATCGCCAATTTAGCAGGCTTTTGCTGACCAGGCACTGCATTGCCACTTGAAGAACCAGAGGAGTTGCTTGGATGCGAATACTGGCTCGTTGATGCCGATGTCATTGATAATGCTGAAGTAGGGCGCGCGAAAGGATTCGGCGAAGCGGCGCGCGAATGTGATGTCGCTTGTATGACTTCTGCTCCTGCGTAGGGTGCAGACGGGTGTTGGCGAACCTGAAACACGAACGTATTATTCAGCGCCAACCTCGCGCATTGCGGTTGCGCAACATAGAGATCGTGGCGCTGAGCATGAGGGGTCGGATGAATTGTCACAAATTCAAAAGCCGGATTTTGGCCCACATGCGTGAGCGGTAGAGCAAATGCCAGAGAGTGCGGATTTGATTTGATTGAATGCTGCGGAGTGATGTCAGCCTACGTCCTTCGGTATAGAATCAGAATTGTAGCTACGTACCATTAAGCCTCGCTTTCCGGCGTACACCTTTAGCACGCCCTGGCCCGCATCACTGGGAAGTAGTGCTTTGATGGTGTATCGCTTCTGACCGCCGACCCAATCTGATTGGGCGAGGGCGCGCTTCTTAACTGTATTTCCGTTCTCGAAGTAGTCGCCATCGTTGTCTTGGGAGTAAGCACCGGCTTCGACCTCTGCGACAAATTCAACGTCCTGAGGTACGAAACAATGGATATGTGCGAGCTCGAGGTTGTCAAGACTGAGAAGACTTGTGTCAAAGTCGAAGATCTGGAGACTATTCTTGAAGTACGGTGGACAAGCCGCTGGCAGGGCAAGAAGGACCTCGTGAGATAGAGGTGGGCATATGTGCTGTTGTTCTGGTATAATTGGAATGTGCGTATAGCATATCTCGATGGGTCGAGCGAGGAACCAGAATGTTTCTGCCACCTGGGTACTCGCGCTTGAGTATAGGTGTCGTTTCGGGTTTGATGGATTAGCAAGACAACAGTCCATTATGCGCCATTGGCCATCGACGATAACAGCATTCCACCAGTGATTAGGTCGCATTGCAGCAGTCATGTCAAGCTCTTCACCCGGTGTTTTGAGGTATCCATTGACTACTTCGGCATGTAGTCCAACGGCGGAGCACATTTCCATGACCAAAACGGCGGATTCTTCAGCGCATGCCCTCCTAGACTGAATGACACGACGTGAGTCGATGTCACCCACGAAGTCTTCCTCCCATCCTATCCTCTCACTTACCCAGGTGAATATGGCGCGTAATCGTTGAACGTCACTTCGATAGGGCCTGCATACATGACCTTGTGCAAGACTTCCAGGATTAGTCATCGGCGGCAGTGATTTAATAAAGCGCACGCTTTTATCAACTAAGCTGAAGTTGACACCTGAGAAGTCAATGGGATCCGATACTGGCAGACCATCCAATCCTTCGTCTCCTTCAGCATTCTCGAGGAGTATGTCGACTGGGTTGATGACTGGAACGTCCATCATCTGACATCGTTCAGCCCTTTCTTGTCTCTCGTTTTTGCTCAGTGAGTTGGAGCGATTCACGTCTCGTCGGACTTGGACCCAATCAGAAGCCCCGCCCAATCCCATGTCGCGTGCTGGGCTTGACATACCCGAGGGAATAGAACCGGAGATTCCCTCCAGCCCTCCCAGAATTGACATCGACTTTCCGAGGCGGGATTGTGACCGAGACTGCGATCGAGACTGCGGTCTACTCGAAGACCCTACAGCAATGGTACTCCTTGCGTTTGCTGCACCAGTCTTTGCAGACTCCACCATTCTTTTGAAAAAGCCACTTCTCTTCTGCTTTGGCGTTGTAAGACCACCGAACGGACTGCCCGATCCTTGAACATTGGTCTGCCACTGGTCCTGGTTCCCAGATGCATGACTTGAGTGATAGGTGATGCCAGTAAAAGGGGTCTCAGGCCTACCATCATCAAAAGTCGCTCCACTTCGAGTCTCCATGACGCTCATAGGTCTACCAGTTGCCCACTTTCTACGAGCGAGGCTACCAGCACTCGTTGCGCTGAAACCGCCAGCACTCATAATACTTTGCCCTGTCATTTGAGTGCTACTGCTGTTCTGTGTGCTCTTAGAAGCCTCGGTCGAACTAGACTTGGTTGTGAATGTCCTACCAAGAACCTCTTTACCAATTTCAACAGCGGACTTGCGATGTCTGAGACGTTTGGACAGACTGCGCGCGAGCCCACTTGAGTTTTCCCTTTCCATGGGGCTCACAGGCCTTGCATAAGCTCCACCTTTCGGTGGTGGCTTTGGCGGCTTATCATTTTCCGTACACTGTGTCCCAGAAGCCTCAGATTGAGCTTCTTCGGCTTGCATCCTGCGTAAACGACTTTCCATACGTCGAACGTAGCTGCTTACATTCCCATCACCTTGGAAATCATTGTTCACATAGCGTCCCTCAATCTCCTCGTCTTCCCGTTCTCCAATCCCAAGTGAAGTCTGAGCTCTGAACTTCTGTGGTCTCGTTGTGTGTAAGTCTTCGAAGGCTTCTGGAGACCAAATGCCAGGCGCAGGTTTGGCACTGTCGCGAGAAGTTGTCTCTCTAGGCATTTCCATACCATCAAGTGATGCCATGACGTCGTTCATCGCGTTTGTGAGCGGCGAAGGTGTCATATTCGTTGGACGAGGAGATGGAGGCTCTGGGGTGTGGTAACCGTTTGTGGAGGCGTTGTGCTCCGGGTGCATTGGAGATGGTGCTCGACTGGTCGTATTTAAAACTCGGTGCGGTGGAGGAGGCGGCGGTGGAGGAGAGGCTTCAATGTCTTCGCGGCTATTATATGGAGCTGGTGAAGGTCCTCGTGAGTATGCTTGATATTGCGATTGGGGTGCGGGCGAGGGGCCTCGCGAGTAAGCTATGTATTGTGATGGTGGAGCCGGTGATGGGCCGCGAGAGTAGTCGAAGTGCTCAACTGGGGGAGCTGGTGATGGGCCCCGAGAGTAGTTGAGATGTTGAACTAGAGGTGCCGGAGAGGACACTCTTGAATATGAATTGTTGCGAAGAGGAGTAGGGGAATGTGCCCTGGTTCTTGACCCTCTATATGCGAGATTTGCGGGAGATCTTGTAGAATTATTGCTATTGGAATGAGCGAGTGGGCTGGGAGATATATTGCGGCCTTCATTTGATATCCGCTTCATGGCAGAGTATGGACGGTGCGTGTTTATGCTGCCCGTAGGGGTCAAATTGGGTGAGCCTCCGCTATCCCTTGATATCTTCCTTGCTGCAGCCTCCGGGTTCGGTTGGCTAGCTGCGTGATATGCTTGAAACGGTTTCCTGAATACGCTCTTAGACTTTTGTGGCGATGGCTTGGTCAAACTTCCAGCAGGGCTTTGCATGGGCGGTAGGGGACTTGGGCTTCGGTTCACAGGATCATAATTCTCGAGGACCTGGACAAAGTTCGATGGGAATAGGCCAACCATGCGCTTATCTCGTTTCAGCCTCCCCATCCACCATGATCCATCACCTGCATTGAGGCACTCTATCATGTCTCCTTCGATGAAGCCTAGGTCGCGCTTGGTCTACGGAGAGTTCAAATTAGCATGGGCTCAGCTTTCGTGTACCGGGCGCATACTTCTCCTCCCCACGAATATACCGCTTTACACCAGCAAGGGAATTTTGTCGGAAGACCAGGCGCAGGTGGCGCCATGGCTGTATAGAGATGTGGAAAACGAGTGTGAACGTCTGAAGGCGCGCGTAAACACGCGATGGGGCGTGCAGGTCGAGTTCATACAAATGCGAAGCGTAAAGTTAACGTAGAGATGTTGCGATAGGATATGACGAAAAGAGAAAGTGAGCGACGACAAGTACGATGCGTGAATGATCGAGTCTAGCAAGATGCTCTGAGGTCACCAACCCTGACGATGAAATTCCAGGGCCCGGAATGTTTGGCGCGCAACGCCACGTTGGGTTGGCTTAGCAACTGCCGCCAAGCAATTCGTTATCGATAACAACTAACAGCCGGGGCGGCATCGTGTCGTCGTGCCTGCCAACAATTGATATACATATACCTAGTAGGTGCGTACGTCTAGGGCATTAGCATGCTGTCAAGTAGTGGAAATTCCACAGTTCATTCAATCGAAACCTCGAGACGCACCTGAGAGACGGAGGTATATGTACCGTGATAGGAGACCCACCGCCAAGACGCCTTCACACATCGGATCTGCCCCACCATATTCCGACGTCCTATCACCTCCGGAACATTCTGTCCGCCCACGGGAATGCACTCCGCGAGGCACGACCCATCTCCAAAACCCTTTCAGATTGTACTATGACGTCGACGAAGAGAAAGACTAGCAAGCCGAAGAGGCCATGGCAAGACGTTGCGCATGAGGCGCAGCAATACCGTGACAGGACTGTTGCGGCTGTCAGGCCAGAACTCCCTGCACTCCCTAGCCCCTTACCCAGGAATGTCATGGCCATTCCCGGACAGATCTTGAGTCAACGTGAACTGTATATCACGTCTTTGTCTGTATCCTGTCTTCTTGATGCGCTCGCTGGTCGAGGAGTTGAACGTATCACGGCTGTGGATGTCATTAATGCATTCCTGAGGCGCGCAGCCCTAGCACAAAGACTGGTGGGTTTGCCTCAATCTCCCACTGTTCATTGGACTTTCACAATTTGTGGAATACCACTGTCTCCTCTTACTGAAGCTTGATGTGAAAGACGAATTGTGTCACTGAATTGTTGACCACCCGTGCCTTGGGCCGCGCCAAAGAGCTTGATGACTATTTCGAGAAGCACGGCAAAACAGTTGGCCCGCTCCATGGCTTACCCATCTCCGTGAAAGAGCAGATCGGGATGGCAGGTCTCGGGCTCAATGCATCCTTCGTAGCTCTCTGGGATAAAGTAGCAACTGAGGATGCACACGTCCTCCAGATCCTGCACAATGCTGGTGCCATCTTTCATGCTCGAACAGCCGAACCTCAAACGATGATGCATTTAGAGACAAGCTCGAACCTCTACGGTCGCACTGTAAATCCGTACAATAGTGATCTTTCATCTGGGGGAAGTTCTGGTGGTGAAGGTGCATTAGGCGGTCTTGGAGGCACTGTCCTCGGTCTTGGTTCCGATGTAGGAGGTGATTGTGCAGCTCTACTATGAATTAGCACCGTGAGATCTGACATCCTCTTAGGGAGCATCCGATCCCCAGCGGCCAACAATGGCATCTATGGCCTGCGCCCAAGCGCTTTTCGCGTTCCCACCGACGGCTGGTCCTCTGTTGCTTGTGGCGTCGATGAAATTGCCACCGTCATTGGCCCGCTCTCATCATCCCTCTCTGGCATTGAAATTCTCATGCAGACTGTCCTCTCCGCTCGGCCCTGGCTTACTGAGCCGGCACTTATCCCCATGCCCTGGACGCCATTCGCCATTACCGGCCCCCTTAAGATCGCAATCATGTGGCACGACGACGTCGTCCTGCCACACCCACCGATCACACGCGTCCTCAAAAGCATGGCCTCTGCGATGCAAGCCTTAGAGAACGTGACAGTGGTCGACTGGAAACCGTACCTACATGACGAAGCATGGGCAATCGTATCAACGCTATACTACCCGGACGGTGGCGTTGAAGACATCGATATGCTTGAGTCTGCCGACGAGCCCATACTACCCCTCACGAGATGGATCATCCAGGATAATCCCTGTGTCAGGGAGCTCTCAATGCAAGAGCTGAACTATTGGAAAGAGGAGCGCGAAGCATACCGCAAAGAATATGCACAGTATTGGCACGCCACATCACAATCAGACAGCGGCGAGGTCGATGTCATACTCTGCCCCGTCGGCCCTGGATGTGCGCCAAAACATGAGACTGCGAAGTACTGGGGATATACAAGTCAGTGGAACTTACTGGATTATCCTGCAGTGGTGTTTCCGGTTGGGAAAGCAAATAGAGAGGCTGATGAGAAGAAAAGGGATGCGCAATGGCTCTCCGGGCAGGATAAGATGAATTGGGACCTGTACGAGCCGGAGACGTTTGATGGGGTGCCAATTAGTCTACAGCTTGTAGCGAGAAGATGTGAAGATGAGAAGCTACTAGCGGTTGCAAAGTGGTTGCAAGAGAAGTTGGAATTTCCGTTCAGATGATTATGTAACTATCGCTTAAGAGTCTACCATGACCAGAGAGAAACCAGTAATCCCATATCTGATCATAGGGGATCTGCTATTTATTGAAAGACGATCATTGTAAAGCTATATTCCGATCTGTTGGTTTAGTCTCCACATGTGGAGAAAAGCACCCCATGTCAAACTCCGTAATAGATCATTATTAGTATGTTCCAAGCTGCGTCTGCTCAATGTCTATCGGAAGCCGCTAGAGATTGTGTGGTGAAAAGACCGATCCCTCACACGAGTCAAGATCACTGTAGCTTCTACGGTAGTCTAGGTTATGTAGATTATTTAACACTAAACATATATATATAGCAGTGAGAAGAATGATGGTACAGGATAATTAGAAGAATTTGAGACTGTCGCAAATTTTCCAGTGGCATAACGGTGGTGGATTATGCGGAGTTGGAAATACATATTCTAGTAAGAACAGTAGAGACAAAAGATAACAGGTAAAAAACGAGAATAATATAGACGTTTCGATTGTATTATGTATGTATATTATCTAGACTTAGGAGTCTATACTATAGTAACAAGGGTCGAGATAGAAGAGAATAGACGAAAGTCGAGATTTATGTGGAATCTTCTAATAGTTTGAGACATATACATCACAGAGATAGGAACATATATTATAGTAATAAGGGTAGAGATGAAAGAGAAGAGGAGAAAGTCAGGATTATTACGGAATACTTAGATGCTTCAAATATACAGATCAATATTACTACAAACGTGCTGTTAAAGCTCAACGGGCTTTGATTCTGCACAACGCCCTGCCTCTCTAGGCTTGCTTAGTGCTCGCTGTATTACATGAACGAAAGAATTACAAAGAGGCCCCTCCCATGCATTACAAGCCCGTCTAAAGTGATACTGAGAACTTTGATTCCCAGCATCATCCTCTCCGCCTGGCCACTCCACTCCCTTCTGATCCTTCTTCCTCCTCCTCTCCTCCAAAGGCCTCCTCGTTCCTCCTCTTTCGAATGGCCAAGGTGGCCATCCGCCGCCTCACCAACCCAACCTCCAACTTGGCTGTCGCCATGTCGGCACGCTTCCTGTACATTTCGGCCCTGTGGGCCTTGAACGAAACCGACCCTGGCGCAAACGTCTCTGCCTTGAGGCCAGCTGACAGGCCGAGGTTCTTGTCTGCCTCTGCCTGCCAGGAGAACTGTTCCTCTTCCAACTTGAGGATTCTGTCCATGTCTAAGATGTCATCCTCATCCATGTATTCGTCCAAGCCAGGGAATTCTCGCTCGTGTGTGCCATATTTTCCAGCGCAGTATGTTGGTCCTAAGGGAAGCGTTGTGGACTGGGATTGACGTATATTGGCGTGGCTGTTTCCCTGTGATGTGTTCCCATATTCCAGGGCTTGGTCATTGTTTTCTTCGTTGTCATCATCGCCGTCATGGATGGCTATCGTTCCGTCTCCCCTATCGACGCCTCCCTGATCAGCTTCAGTATGGTCCTCCTCATCGCTCTCCTCTTTCTGCTCATTATCACTCGACTCCGGAATCGTATCCGGATCATCCTCAGAGTCTTCGCTATGCACCTCTAGCTCTTCATTGGGACCAATACTCGCGTAAATACGATATCCCGCTCGTACATCCTCCGGAGAAACGGCGAATTCTCTTGTCTGGATACGTTGGATACCCGCGGGACTGTTCAGTCTGCCCTCATGTTCGAGGCGCTCAATTGCGCGTCGAGTAGACCATTGAGCCAAGATCTCTTTCTGTGCGTCATGAGGGACTTCGCATTCTCGTGCAAACTCTAAAAGTGCGTCGAGGAGGACCTTCGTCCAGTCAGAAGGCGCTAGCACTGGCTTATTTAGCCATTCCTGCTCCGTTCCACTGTAAAGAAGCATTCGATGAGCTTTTCGGGGGGCGGCCTCGTACGGGAAGAAATCATGCATGGTGTCGAGATCCCATAGTACGCATAGTCTGTCAATTTGCGCCTGTCGTTCGTCTCTCCTGCGATGCATATATAGAGGCATTTCAAGAGCTGGATTTGAATGGTGTAGAAGCAGAGCTGAATATACATGTAAGTATCTATGGAACACAAGTTCTCGAAGGAATCGGACACTTAGACTTTCTCAAAGGAAAATGTTGTTAAAAGACCAGAGCAATGGTAAAGTCTCGGTGATGGCACAGTAATGATGATAATCTATGTTTGATTTAGCAGTGTCGCAGATGAATGCATGCTTGAATGGAGCTACCTTACCCGTCTAACAGACTTTTACGGGCGAAAGACAAATTCTAGCACTAGAATTAAGTCGATAGTAACGTGTAGTAGTTGGCGTTAGCTTAGAGACTATGGACGTCTAGCTGTTAATGTCGAGATATAGATCGTCAAAGTGTCGTTTAAAAGGGCATCTAGACGCGGTTGTAGTCGTGCTATAAGGTAACCAGGCCCCTGTTCTGTACACACGTAGATTCAGTTCTCAACACTCGGCTATGCTAGCTTTTCACTCCTTGTTTTCACTGCGCTAGAACTCCGGATAACTATCCAAGGCACATCATCTGTCACGGTAACCGGGGACATATATTGCCGAGACAGGCTTGCACATATAGAGCTCCATAGCTAGAAATACTCTGCCTTCCCTCTCTTCTTTTTCCTTGTCTTCAACACTCGTCTGAAACTCTTAGTATCAATAAGTGGACTTCTTTGTTTACTTAAGAGGAATACTTCTTCTCCTTGTCTTTCTTTCCCACTCTATGCCTTCACGGCATACCTGAGTTCCTGAGGTTGCGAATACATATACTTTCCCCTCTGTTTACTGGTGCTCTTCATAACATACCTGGTGCTCCCATTGTGGATATAGTGCTACCAGTTACCATATTATCCTCCGAAAGTCACTGCTCGATCTCACACAGCAAAACACTTTGTAACGTATTCACGGCTTCGAAATGGTATCCACACGATCAGTAAGTGACTAAGAACAGCCTAATATTTTATCACCACTAACAGGCATCAACAAGAAGATCCTTGAAGCCTCCGGATCGGATCGAAATGCCACCAAGGCCGAGACTTCGGAGAAGAGGACCGTCGAAGACGGCCGAGCAAGCAAGTCTAGCGAAGCAGAAAAGGAGGGCTTGATCCAGCAGATCTTGGACTCTTGGAGCTACTCTATCGATGACCTAGAAGCATGGCTTCCACAGTACGAAGCTCCCAAAAGAGCCCACCAGTGGGAAACAAAGCTCCTACACGAACTAGTCTACATCGCTAGTCTTCACAACCCTGTGGTCGCCCGAGAACACATCATCACCCAGCGGAAACTGCGAATTTGCCGACGCCGCACAGCCTCAGGTCAAACAAGACCATATGACAACGAGCAAGTCACCGAAACCGATGTTGTCGATGCTTGCTTAGCCATCGCACAAGCGCCCGGTGCTGCCAGGCCCGATCCAGAAGACCTCGAGCAACTCGCCGGCTTCGACGAGACCCGTTCGAGCTCTGAGCTTTACGATGATGGAGACGTAGACGCCGAAGAAGCCAACGCCATAGGTCACAGCGGCATCAACCAAAACCCAGTACTTGCCACCACCGAGAACAATTCTCCCCCTCACCGACCCGCCCGTCATCCCGCGCGGCTCCCTGTGTTTCGCCGCCCGGTCAATACCGTATCTCGGTCTCGTGCCAGCTCCCCACAGACCTACGTGGCGGGCCAAGTCATGACCAAGGCACGCCGTCTCAGTGATATCACGCTGGACGAAACCATCTCGCAGCTCGACCTCATGGAGCTGGAGCACCACCTGGACGCGGTTGAGGCTGACGAGGTCGACAAAGGCATGGTGCAATGCTATAAGGTGCAGTGCCACCGGTCGGAGCGCAATGCCATCGCGGCGGTGAGAGCTGGGCAAGTACCAAACGCGCACATGTCTAGGTCGCTGGAGTATACCGCTCGTGCTGAGGAGAGGGAAGCTTACCGTCGCCAGAGGCGGGTTGATCACTATAGGCGGATTTTGGAGATTAGGAAGAGGAAGCAGGCAGATGAGGTTGCGCGCCAGAGAAGGAGATAGACTGGTGGTTTCTCTACGGTATGATGACTGTCTCTTCCTGTATCGATAGAGCATTTCTAAGTTCATGGGTCTAGATAGACCTTGATGTATCGTGTACCACTACAAGAGCTCAATAAACTTCATCCAAGGCGTTAGTATATAGTTTCTTCATGGTATAATGTTCTACTATTCGCGTAGCTATAAATGCGTAATATATCAATGGGTAAGAGAAGATATATAGATATCCTACTCTCATAGAATAACTTCTTAAAGATAAACATCTAATAAATGTAGCCAAGTTTAGAACTATAGTAGTTCTCTTACCTATATACCTTCTAGAGTTTATGACACGGTAATCACCGTGACACGACATAGCTGGCGATACCAAAGGAGACAGTTACGGCAGGAACTGCCAGATACTGTCTGTTTATCATATGAGAAGATAAGGAGATACCTAGCTTTACTCAATTAATACGATATCCATGACTTGACATAATCTGACCTTAGCATCTTGGTAGCTAAAAGTAAACTAGGAGCTCGTCATTATTTGAAAAGACAGCACTAGTCAAGCACCGATACTAATAGCGCCTGAAACGTAATAGCCTACTAAAGTCTAAACCTCATCTGACCCGCGAGTAATACCTAAGACGCTTCTGTAACCTCAGCTTAAAAGGCTTACGGATATGTGGAAGAAGGGGAGACCCGAAGGACAGTAATCTACGGATCCTAGTAAATAGACGTCAAATAAGAGATAAACATGGTATCTCAATCGTGCCAGCCCATAAATAACGCCCAAGGAAAGGGAGTGGAGGCACTTGCACGCATAGCGCTACATACCTCTGCACCACTACCTAAAAGGGATCCAAACTCATGTCGATATAATTATCCTCCTATGACACGCCGCCAATAGGACTTCGTCCGGTGTTTAGGCATCGCGCTATATGTATGTACCATAAATCGTACCAGACCTCTCTATTGGCTGTAAGGAAGTCATCGCAGTTCACAGGCGTATATCTGAGCATAACGCGAGCTATGCACTCATACGCGGCCCTGGGTTGTGCACAAATAGCACGAGATAGCAGGGGTAAAAAAGGGAGATTACGTTGTATTCCGGTGCGCTGTGCGCTGTGAGGCCTGCCAAGTAGGTACAGCTACTACAACGCCATAAAAGCACAACTTATTATTTACCATACAATGCCAGACAAAAAACCACCAGTCCCAGACCACATAAAGCAAACAAGCAAACCAGGAAAATTGAAAGATTCGTTTCACGTGACGTATGAGGAAATGGGACGCCGCCAGCACACACTACTCCACAGCCAACCTCTAGTTTCGTGATGCTCTGCAAGAGGATGTAACAGTGTTTCGGCAGACATATAAAGGCTCGGCGTGACACCACGCTTCCATAGCAGGGAGACAGCATTGTGACATGCATGCGTGACCTTGTGCTACTCGTAATACGTGGCCCCGCCAGCCCGCACACACAGACCACCGGTCAGTACCCAGGACGAGCTGACTACAGCACAGTGGTGTAGAACTGGGCAAGGAAGAGACATATTCGACACCCTTCAAGTAACGAAGGAAGGTCCCTATTGCAGCTTCTCTAGCACCAACGGCGTCGAAAGCCCTTGCCAGGCACAAGAAAGGAGACTGTAGTGCAAGGTGAGGCAAGAGGCATGATTCCGGTGCAGTGTATGAGTCGCAAAGGGGAAAGTGCATATATGCTCATGACACGTGAGGCACACAAAACACAGACAAAATGCGCGGGACACAGAACCCCGCACGAGGCGCTCACACTATAACAAAGTCCTTCTCGATAGGTGCTGGTTCCTCTTCGAATAACTCATCAGCAAGTATTCGCGATTGAGTTACCACAGGAGTAGGCTCTGCTTGGGCGTCCTCGGTCCAGATAGGGATGTCCTTTTTCTCTTTCTCGACAGGTTCGTTCTTCTTGGACGCTGGTGAATAGAAATCGAAATCCTTGAACTCCTTGGAGAGGCGGGATGGTTTAGGTGCATTCACAATGACATAGGACTGTGCGTCCAGGCCCGGACCATAGTAATCTGCGGCAGGAAGATCTCCAAGAGCTCTACGGTCTTCGTTCATTGCGTCGACGGAGGCGAAACGTTCCTTGGCGGGCACCTTAGCAGTAAAAGGGTCCTGAGCGGGAGTGTTAGGGTTGAATTCTGAAGAAGTTCTGGTGCTACTGGCTGCGGTGACAGAGGCAATGAAGTCCGGGGGTGGGATGTTTTCTTTTCCGCGATCTTTGGCTTCTTTCTGTAGCCTGGTCTCACAGTCATCGTCGGAGCTGATATCGAGGACACATGCTGAGTGCTCCATCATATTGGTAGCCTCCTCTTCTGCAGTGTCTTCATGAATCTCGAAAAACCAAGATTTTGGCATCGGCTCGTCCACGATAGGCTTTGGCTCGGGGGCTGCCTTGGGGGTATACGTGGGAATCGAACCAGAAAGAGCAGCATCGAGAGAGAATGGTAGTCCAGACTGTGCTTTACGACCAAAGGATGGCGGATCGACGCGGTGGAATGGAGACCCCCCAGTCTTACGACGGGAGAGCAGCCCAACACGTTTATGTTTTGGAGAGCCACGGCTCTGGCTGATTGGAGTGGTATTGGCAGTGACTGGAGAAGAGACGGCATTGCGTGCCATCGAGGACTTAAATTGGCTAGGGGCAGATCGGGCTGAAGATGGTACGGTGGTGAGGGAAAACTTGGAGACCTTCTGAGGAGTACCACCATATGCCTTTGACCGCTTTGAAGGGGAGTTGAAGATTGAAGGATCAATGTTCTCCGAATCAAGATCATCCTCGAACTGCGTGGGGCACCGGCGTTTAGTGGAAGGCGAGAGAGTGACCTTGCCCGACTTGAGGGATGCAGTGACAGCTGTGAAGACGCGAAGTTAGCACTGTCCTGACTCTGCCGTACGAGCTTGCTCTAGAGTCAAGTTTCATGCGTACCATTCTGTCTGTTCTTTGCACTCGCCAGAGAGTGCAACCTAGGGCTGTCAAGGGAGGCGAATGGCTGACGGGGCTGAAGCGTTGCCATTGTAGTAGCGAGTGGGTGAGGTCAAGAAGAAAGAAGATGCAGAGGAATGTCACAACACGCCTCGAGTCGTGTAGAGATCAAGTGGCGTCAATCGTAGCTGTGTCTACGCGTTCAAAGCAGTAAACACGAAAGCGAACGAAGAGGATCCCTAGCAGAGATGACGACAACGATGAAGACGATGAGTATCAAGAAGAAGTGATTGAGACGAGTCCTTGAAGGAATGGAGTAGATTTAAGGGGAGGAGGATATGAGACTCGGAGGACAAGCAAGCCTGGAGAGAGATAGGCGGGAGTAAGTGTGTATTGGTGAACTAGGAGATCCGACAGGGATTGGGCCGGTGAGTAGTGCGAATGAGTCGAAAATGGCTCGAACGCGTAAAGAAAGCGTGGAACCGAACGCGTGAAATAGAAGGGAGCCAAAACCGAAAGATAGAGAGGGACGGAGTGTATATGATGGGTGGAGGGTTGCGGAGAGCGGAAAGGGACCCACGCACCCTTTCGAGTCGCGCGCTGCCCCTCACGTCGTCTCACGTCGTCTCACGTCAACGCGCTGCTCTTCTCTCCCTTGGAAACGATCGACAGTGCAAAGCTTGCGATTCCTGCAGGCTGCAGCGTCTACCTTGTAAATCGTCTGAAAGAAGCAGAAGACGGCGTCGCAAGTGAATGGCAGGTAATAATACCAGAGCTGATCAATTGGCTCTCGTGCACCGGGGGTAGCGTTTCTGCATACACAGGATCGCTACGTGCCCCACCCATTCATCGCGCTAGAGACACGACCACCATACGCGACAACTTCGTGATGATTGGGACCTTGCTACCCTTATTGTTCTCTATCCCTCACCCTGATCCCAATAACCGCTCTATGTCAGCGCCTTCTCGAGTGCATCTTGCTGCCATCGTACAGCCGCGTCTCGCCATTCTAGGCACCACCATCTACACGATCATGGTCCTTCGTTATAGCTGTCATATGGGACGTCCGGTGAGAAGCCTCGCTAGACTGGGCAACGAAGCACGAGTAACCGCCCGAGGCGTATTCTGTGCAGCAACTTGCCGTCTCGACGGACTTAAGCGTAGAATGAACTGTGAGGCAGATTCCCAGGAGCGGCTTTCGTAGTGCATTTAGACTCAGTCCCGTTCCAAGTCGTGTTTCTTCTGGTCGATTCGCTCACGTCCACCACTACGACTCCACGCATAATCTTCTCCCCTACCATCACACACAAGCACGTCTTTGAGATCGACACGGCCTGGCCATATCAGCTCGTCTAAGTAGGAACTGACGTGGTTCTCAGCAAGCCACAGTGCGTTGGCTCTGATGGTTGCCGAGCGAACGAGCGAGCAACAAGATCAGCCATTGGACACAGCCTGGACTACATGACGCGACACCATGATTTAGCATTATTCATACATCCTCAGGTCGGCGGTGGCATGATGTCTCGGCTTGAAGTTGTTTTTCCGTTGATCGCGCGACGAGAAATGTGAAGCCATGCGTTCAATACCATTCGTACCAGAGCGAATGATTCTTGCATGGCTGAAAAGAACTTGGAGCTCGAACTTCCCGCATTGTCTTGCGATGAAGTCGAGAGACCGAATCCGAGACCTCGAGGGGGGCCTAAATTGAGACCACCAGTCGGCAGTCCTGTGTTTCATTTTCAGATGTTTCAAAAGACCAAATTGGGTACCGCAAAGATTCATTTGCAGACCATATCAGCCGGACTTTTTCTCGTGATCAAACATCTCTGCCAATGCTCTCGTGATTGCCTACCAGTAAAGTACAGTTGTTGAGTTACCCCAGGCAAGATGTTAAGATCACACCAAGATCAAACATATACTCGCAATACCAAGCTATCAGGAGCTTGAAAAAGGGTTCAGAGGCCAAATGAGGTTCATTGGTGACGAGCCTATAGTATTTTCCATTTTGGACTCATCTGCCTAACACTTGCACACTAATCGTGAGGTCAGTACAACGGTATTCTTACCTAGGTAGGTACATAGCACCTGATATTAACAACACCTTTAGAAAAAGGTAAATATCACCCTGCGACAGCGTCAAAGCCCATCACACAGACATGCGTCCACGAAATAATTTTTGAAATTTGAGACAAGCCACAGATATGGCGGCGAGACTCTATCGGGCAAACGAAGATGCGACTAATGCCCAGCCAGCCGTGGAGAATAGATTACATACATTCGTGACTGACCGGGTAAGTACCTCTCCAAGATGAAGCTGTCATATCATTGAGGCCTGGGAGTATGATCCAACAGATGGGTGGTGACCACCTACCCGACACTCGACACTCAACCTAGCATATCCATTCACAGCCCTAACACGCATATATATGTATACCAAAATCTCTACCCCATCCGTCTCTCCTAGCATCCTCGATCCAACCAAGCTCGCCAACTCCCTCTCTACTTATGTGCTATCCTATCACAGTAGCTTCATACCATGTCATGTGCCGTGTGCCATCCGTCAACTGGAACAAAGATAATGTCTCCGCCGTGTACCTCTCCACACATTCTTCATCGCCATAATATAATGGCAGTGAGCTTCAGCACACCTTGATCATGCTGTTCATCGGGCAGTCGAGGATTCTTTCGGCGATGATGACCATGATGATACAATGTTGGTTTTTATCTTCATCGCAGACATGTTTCATAACAACGGAATGTGACATATATAGGACGGGCGAGGCATGTGTGAACAAACCTGGGTTCGATACGTTCTTATACTATTGACCTCGTGACAGATGCTGCTATTCAATATGAGTATTTGCATACACATGGTACCATACACATCTCATCTCACAGGTACGCATGCGTGCCGGATACCCTTATACAGAGGCAGTATGCTACATGTTCGTTCAACAGCTCACGGCGCTGAAAGCACGTTGCTGAGACCCTCCTGCATGAAGTTGCCACCAACAAGCTCAAGCTTGTTGTCAGCAGCATATTGCTGAAGATTGAAGGGCGCATGCGCCACAAGCGTGACAGGGTCGATAGGAGTCGGCGTGTAGTTCGGCGGCTGCCTGTACACAAGCAATATATAGCGGTGTTGAGAGACGGAAAGCGGAGTGAGTAGCATGTAGCTTGCCTGCACTTCGGGGTCCGGTCCGGGACAGTCTGGTTGCAAGTCGTAGATTTTGTAATGCAGAAAGTGGAGGAACAGAGGTAGTTCCATGTCTGGCGCGTCAGGGTCGACCATTATATGGGTGTATTTTGTCGTGGCTGGGTCCTGGTGTGCGACTGGCTTGCGGTTGGCTTGGGTGGAATTGTGCGCTTGTTGAGCGTTTCTGTATCAAGGCATCAGGATAGGCTTTGTGTCGCATCTCACTAGTGACAGCAAACGTGTGACCCAGATTCTCTGCTTTACGGCCAAAATACAACACACAACTTTGTTTGCGGGTTGATTTCAGGTACCGTATTCGTGCTTAGCTTACTAGTCTGGAAGGCACGCTTCACAACTCTACAGTGTTCGGGGAGATGCCTGAAGTTAGTCAGTTAACAGGATGGCGATCTGTAAGGCTGACCGCTGCAGACTGGACGGTGGCCACCAGCGTGAGTATGGCGAGGTTAAGCGGGCTTTTCATGATTACGTATCTGCGATTGAGATACCACAGCCCAGACTTATTAACAAGATGCCGCAGGTTGAGCCCCTTTCCCCTCCGTGTCCACAGCATAACACAATTATGTCTTATTCATACGTTCATCAAGCTATTTAGCATTAACTTCCAAGCAGAACATTCGAACCACTCATGACATAATGCATGCATTGAGGCCTTGCCAAAGATAAATCAGCTTGGCATAGCCCTAAATCATCTCCCAGGCGCAGAATTTCGCAATAGCCTCAGAGGATCAGCACAAATACCGTACGTACTTCGCATATGACATTAATTCTCTCTTCGATGACAATGAACAGGTATGCTGTGTCGAGCCTATCGATAACGCTTTCTACACCAGTGCTATAGGTAGTCATATGAGGTCACATGAGTAGCTAAGTCACGTGGTCTAGTCACATGACGCTAGAAGCTTAGTATATATTACTTCTTCTTTCTATATTATTTATAGTTAGAGATAGAAGGAGAAAGATAAATAACTATATTAGTACCTAATTAAAGACTTATTAAGAGTATCTCTATCTCCTTTACTCTATTATAGACCCTTTAGTAGATAATATAGTACCCTCTAAGTACTATACTTAGTATCTAGTAGCTAAAAATTTAAATAATCCACGTTCTCCACCGTATACTCTAGTAAATATTAACTAAGGCTCTTCTTAGAAGTCCCCTTATCTTCTAATTTTACTTATATCTTAAGAATATATAACTACTTAAACTTATATCTAAAAGAGAGCTATAATCTTTAGACCTTAATTAAATTCTAATAAGCTTAAGATAATCATAGTCACGCTTATAATTATAATTAGTATCTACTCTAACCGCTAAACTAACGGAATAAATCCCTTAAACCCTTGTCCTAGTTATCGAGAAGGAATTAATTAGGGCTAAAGCTTCTCTTTCTCCCGAAACGACTAATTTTAATATACTAGGAGGGTTTTCGCCGTTATCTAAATTATTAACCTCCTTCTAGTATACTATATAATCTTATTAATAACCCCCCCTCCGGGATACTATAGCGGGTATTATAGACCCCGTAGAAGGTTAAATAACTTATATAACTAAGGTTAAAGTAGAAAGACCTATCTCTCCCCTAGCTTCGTATTCACAATTAGTACTCTATAAGAATACTTTCCTTATTCTTTATCTAGAAGCATTTATTAAGGAAAATAATCTTCTAGAGAGTATTACTTTCGAAATAGTATTACTAGAAGTAGTTATAATTAAAGTAAGAACGATTTAAGAATATTTATAGTCTAACTTATAGATATAATATAAGAAAGGAGTTATAGAAGCTTTAGATAGGTTATTAAAGAATAATAGCTATCTTACTAACGCGATAAACTTTTAAGCCTTTATTTAGTATTTTAAGAATAGTTATAAGAATAGAGTTATTAGATAGTAGTATAGTTAGATAGAATAATAGGGTGTATTCTATTATAGAACGAATTACTACCAAACCCTTTCGGTAGGAATCTGAGAGTATATATATAAAGAGATGCCGATCTATCTAGCACGTGACTATTTACCGCCCTTTATATTACCTTCTAACTCTATTAGCTAAGGTATATATAGGTTAGGTCCTACCTAAGGCTAAGTTCTAATAATTATCCCTTCCCTCTAGGAAGCTACCCTTAGCGATCTAGATTATTATCTATCTCTATATCCCTATCCTAAGTCTTATAAGACCTTAGTTATTCTCTACGCTTCGTCTTAGATACTTACTAATATTTACTAATCTAAGATTTATATAAGCGTTTTCCTAATAAACTAGATTTTATCTATCTTAACTTCTTATATAGGTAAGATTACCTAATTAGGCCTAGCGTATCACGTAATATAATTAGGTAAGCCTAGGTACTACCTATATTAAAATCTTTTCTTAGAAATATTCCTTTCTTTAAAAAACTTCTTAACTCTTTATAGAGTTTTTTAGATTATTAGATATATTACCCGATCCTTATAGATATAGATTTATATAGATTTACTATAATTTAGTACGATTTACGTAATTTACTAATTTTTATACCGTCCTTAGCTAGTAATAATATAATTTATAATAATCTATATAAATTAATAATAATTATAATATAGTTTCCTAAAATCTCGACGCTCTAAAGTAATTAGTACGGAAATAGACGCCTTTAAATAATCCCTATCTCGTATATATTACTAATATATTAAAAGCTATTAATCTACCCTAACCTAGGCCGGGCTCTAATAATCTAGCTATATATTATTATAGTGTGGTGAGCCATCGCCACGTGTGTCCCTTTTATAAATGGCTATGTTCCTAGTATAGTAGTCGCGACGAACTTACAAGTATCTCTCCTAGGTATTATAAGTTCTCTTTAAACGCACGACTTCTTATTAGTTCTCTTTTATAATAGGACGGGTCTATATAATACTCTTAATTAATTCTTTAATAGCTAAGCCTAATAATTAATACCTATAGAGGCCCATGAACGTAAGAAAAGATTGAATAGTTAAATATTAGTAATAGGGGAAGCGCGCCGAGTAGAATAACCAAGGAAAACGCCCTCCTTAAATATATAATAAAGCTATATAATCGAGCCAGGGACATATATATATAGGGCTATAGGAGCGGCCTTCTATATATACCTCCCCGGCCTATAGAACTACTACCCTTAGTAGTATAGTAACCGTGTAAGAAACCGTATAAAGAACGCCTAAAAGAAAGACCTTAATATGAATAAAATGCGCCCCTAGTAAATCTCTCGGCGCGGGTAAACCTTAGCCCGGATTATTAGTTAAGGGCAGCCCTTAACTAATAATTAGGTAGGTTTTTAGGCGCCTAATCTTAGTACTCGAGGTCGCGAGCCAGCTCCTAAAGAATTATATCGCTTATCTTAGAGAGGTTAGATTCCTCCTCATCAGATAGTTCATTAGGCCTCTCCTATCTATAGAAGTTCTCTTTAATATTATCTAGGCCCGCGTCGGACTCGAATTTCTTAAAATTAATTAGCCGCTTAGCGGCGCGCGCCTTATTAAATTCCTTCTAGAATGACCTATCCCTATAGACTAGCCTTTCCTACCTTACTATTTTCTTAAAGGTCTCTACGAATACCCTCGAGCCCTCCTTAAACCAGGCGTCTACCTTAGCTTTAAGTTATTAAGGACTTACGTTAAGCTACGCAGCTACCTCTTCTTTTATCTCCTAGCTATCCTATCTTTTATAGCCGACTAATACGTTACTAACGGCGTTAAAACTCGGGAGTTAAACTACGGCTAGAAAGGTAAAAGGAATCGCGCCGTATTTATTAGAAAATCCCGATAGAGACGTAGGTCCCGGAGTTAAATTCCTATAAGCTACTATGAGTTATTCCCATGTACCCATTTTAGGCACTTCTATTATTATGTAATTAGGGCTAATCGTAATATACCATGGAAGCATCGTACGTCTTCTACCCTTTACGGGACCCTAGGCGCCGTGTATTATTAGTAGGCTAGAGATACGCACTTTAAGGGACTGGTAGGGGACCGGGATAAAGGGACTAAATCGTTTCTTATCGTCTATATTATAGATCTTATTATTAATAGCCGTAATTATACCGTTTCGATTAACCCCCTCGCGGAGCTTAGTCTTTAACTACTATTCGTTTAAGAACTTATAGGAGCGGGGAATAATTATAGTATAGTCGTTACTTCGTTCGTTATCGAGACTAATACTCCCCTAGATTATATTAAACCCATGTCTATTACTAGGATCGAGGATTCGATTAATGGCGTTATTAAGATACTTAAAACCCGTCTTATCGCCCCTATCCTAGGACTTCGCATAGTACGGGTACGAGATTAGATAGTAGTTAAGATCGGGCCGAAGAGCGATATAGGTAAGCTAGTAAAGTAGGTATTACCTAATAAACTATTAGATATAGGAGTGGTATATAGTTTATAGCTAGCCGTAGTTTAATTTCTTATTAAACATGCGCTAGTAGTACTTATATATATTAAATTCATCCCTCGCGAGTTCTAGAATACTCTTATTAAGTATAGAGGTCGTCTTTTTAAGTAGCTCGAAGAGCCCTTTAATATTAATACTTCCGGTATATTCCTACTCGTTAAAGAGTTACCTACCTATCCTACTATCCTCCTTCTAAATCATAAATGCGATGCTAGTAAGAATGGTTTTAATATTAATAACTTACTTCGGGGTCTCTAGGGCCTAGTAATAATAGATACCTAATGCCTCTATTAGATAAGGTGGCCGCGTGTACTTCGCGAACTAGGTATAGCGGTCCTTATAAACTTTAAGGGCCCCTACGTTATCTCTAAACTTATATACTATTTTAAGTCTCGCTACTAGGTTTAAGTAGAACACGCTAACGAGTATATTATTCTTTCTAGCCACGTCTTAGTAATGCTTATAGTAGACTTTATACGGAATAGCTATATTACCTATCTATACTTTCTAGCGCACTAGTAGGGCCATTCCCTTAATGCTTATGAAATTCTTCTTTAATAATATAGCTACCTTAAAAGTCTTTATTACTAAAGGCGCGTATTAATACTTCTTAGGCTCGTCCTCTTCCTTAACCGATACTATTATCTTAGGGTATAAACTAAGAATAACCGGGGATTATTATATAGGCGCCCCTAGTAATTACTAAGGGCCGGTAGATAAGGCACGTCCGCGAGTGGGTTTTATCGGCGTAGCCATAATAGGTACTAAAGAGGTTCTTATATAGCCCGGTAAGGGATGTACACTAGTAGTAGTAGGAGGAATACTTACTTTAAATAGACGACTAGCTTCGAAGAGACGACGTGCTACTAAACTAGAAGGCGTGCTTCGTGGAGGGGACTTTACCGTAGGCGTTACCTACGCTGGTTTTAGCGACGGTAAGGTCTAAGGCGGAGGTAATATACTTATCTCTTTAATTTATAGGTAGTATTCGACGGGCCTATAAACTATTCTACTTATCCGTAACTAT